TTCAAAGCCGTCGGAAAGCCAGTAACACTATCAAAGTTATGTACAATTTTATATAAGTATTATAGACAAAAAGATTCCTGGACTATCCTGATCTTAAGAAATCAAGCGAAAATGAAAAAAGAAATGAGATTACCGTGAATAAAGGATAGTTTATTCTGAATCTCGATTATATCTACAAGAAAGAACTATTGTAAGTATTTGAAACTGGATTTCTTTTATCGAATTACTAGCACAGAGCCAAACATTTCAATAAAAGGTTTAAAAAAAAAACTTGAACATATACAAAAGATTATTCAACAATAACACTACCTTATGTTAAGGAATGCCGCCTCCATTTCATTAAATGTGCAATCGAAATATATCTCTAAAAGAGAACCATAGAGTAGATTGTAAAACTTAATCTTTCATAAAGGTCGAGGTGCGATGCGCAACTTGCAATATTGTTTGCTGTTTGTTAAAGTATGCGTGAACAAGAGATCTTCAGACAAGTATTGATTGATATTCAATAGGACTACGATGAATGGCTGCTTGACAATACGAGCGTTCCGCTATTAACGGAAAAGTTATTCGGAAGAACGTTTTAATATAGCCATTAATAATTTTGTTTACTTGTCATACTTAACTTACAGATATTCATATTAAAGAAAGGCTCGAATAAACGCAAACGTTCAATGATGATAAATAGTAAAATGCTATATGTTTAATAATATTTTTAAATGAACAGAATTTCAATAACTCTTGGTAGGCAGATACCTCTTGGAATAGTCAAATAGACTATTTATATATCGAATAATGTAGAGATCAGTACTTTACTTATAATTTCTGTTTTATAAAATACATATTTTTATTTACCTAAATATATAGATAGTTTCTTTATTGTTTCCTCCGAGACTGCAGTAGTAACGTTATTATATACAAATAATTACGAGAAATTACAAAAAATTTTGTTCTCATTACTTCTTATATATATACGAGTAACAAAGAACTAGACACACCGGCTCCATTAAATCTATGAGAATAAGTAATTTTAGTGTATCTCACTCAATGATTGTGCCATATGTAGATATAGACACAATTCACAAAGCTACCGCCAACTCCGGTGGTCTGCGCGCTCACTGTTCGTCATTCTTCTCCGTTTAAACCTTTCTTCTTTTCCAAAACTGAAGACTCAATATGGAATTCATTGCAACATTGTTATCTAAATCTCAATCGAGTGCATTCTACCGCACTATTTCACTTATTGAGAAACCGGCAGACATTGAGACGTCTTACAATTGTATGAATTTGTAGAGTGAATTACTGTTCATTTGTCTGATTAAAATGTATTAGAATAATTCATACTAACACGGTATGTGTTGTGCACGAAATACAAATAAATTGATGCCAAGATTTTTTTCTTAATAAGCCAATTGCTGTAGATTATTATGTTACTAGGCTTGGTAGAGAGTTCTTGTTCGAGGTGTCCCTCTTTTGCATTAGTATATTATAATTTGTTCTCTTAAATGTTAATGACGTCCTACCTAAAGATAAAAAGGAGTGTTGACACATTATACTCTTAATCCGTCATAATACGAAGACTTATACAAGTTCAAAATTTTAATATTTAAATGTATTTATAGATTTGCCTAGATGCCAGAAGACTTTGATATTGAAATATTGTATAACAATTATAATGGGTTATACATATTTGCAGTGACCTTATGAGGGTGTATAGAAAGGGCGTTACGCCTGAGCCTGTCAGTAGTATAGCGCACGCGCCACTTGATCCTCGTTAGCGACGCACTCACCAAACAAATGAACTAAAACAATACAAAACGTACGTTACCATTATGCTAATTGCGCATGGCATTGTTTTTATTTTGAATTTACATTTCACTTCAATTAGACCTCCCGCGAGCCATGAAATAATAAAGAGTACCTAAGTAAAATCAAATATGACAGGGCAAGACCGCTTACTGGTGCTTGTTTAGGTACCTACTGCTTTCGAATTTTATTTTATGTGACAGCATGATACGCTTGGTATGTTGAATGGAAATGATAAAAAATTTAGGTCCCTTACGTATAATAATGTACTTAAAAGTATCTGTACATTGTTTAATATTGTTAATTATGATGTTTATTTTATTCTTCTGTGACTCCTATAAGTATTTCTACTTTAGGAAAGGATTCTAATTATAATATTTTCCTTAAAAGCCAATAACCTCTGATAAGTTATATGATAGCTTATCGTTAAATTTAATAAATTATCAACATCTCATTATGTATTTATATTACCAGAGGGAGACTTTGTACAAAAGTCGATTGCTTGGGTACCTCTGTCCCATTCGTGTTTCAACTGTGAAGCAGTTGTGTTTGCATGGCTGTATTTTGGTTTGAAGGGTGGGATATGGCGTGAATTTACTGGGTACAGAGAAACAACACCTGAGTCCTCAGGAATGGCAACGCATGGGGGGTATCATGGGCGAAACAGTATACTCTGTTATGTCCATGGTACTGCTCATGTCTATAGGCGACGGTTACCACTTTCCATTAGGTGGGCCGTCAGCTTGTTTGCCATTCTAAGTTATATAAAAAAAAACCTTTTTACTCTACAATATCTGTGACTGTGTGTCAACGATATCAATACATAATTGCTTGTCCAAATAAGGTCATTTTCAAAGCTGATCACTGATCAGTGTATCCTTATCTGTTTTTTCTATTAGTCACATTCCTTAAACACGGTTATAAGTAAGTAAAGATATAGTAGAAAGTGACCAAGACACTATACTCGCGCAAGAGAAGAAAAACTTGAAATAAACTCCTGCACCCAACCCAAACAATAGATACTACCAGTAATTACCAGTGTGGTGGTAATAGTAATTTTATACCCTCCTCTTGTAAAAAAAGAGTCGTCTCCAGCACAGGTATTACTGAGAGAGACCCTCTCTCTCTCTTTGTCCTACCTACCCTTACTGTTATTTGTATATCTACAATGCAACTAGAGGGAGTATAATCTGTGTAAAGGCACTTTAAAATACAAATAGGAACTAATATTTTTCACTGAACACGTTATAGCAATATATTATAGCAAACATATTGTCAGAAGAGAACAATCACGTGACAAGTAAGTACAACAATATGTCAGCAATTAAGAAGAGACGCTGGCGCATTTAACTGCTAATGTGTCTATTAACAAATGTATTTGCCGTGTTCGGACTCGCTCGTAAATATCGTGAACAACTGGAGCAGTTGGCTCGTGTCGATTCACATATATCATTCTGTTTAAATGATCAGACAACAGAGCGGACGTGACAAACTCTATGAAAGTCTGTTTATATTATCAGAGACAAAAGTTTATATTAAGTGGATGAAATTTTCTGTTTTTTCTAATGTAATTTTTTTTTTTTAATATCGCTTACTTGTATTATTAGTAGGTAGTCTTAGACACTGGCGCACATTGATGAAACTAGTTTATCGAATGGAAGTTACAAGAGTTGTATGTAGATATTACACGATATATACAAGAGACGTTATTATGGCATACAATTCATACTTTTAATCCATTAGAATCTCACCATGTGAAAAACATTATTGTAGCGTAGTGGTAGGCTGCAGTTATGTGCAAACGCATAATAAAACAGTTTCTAATTTAGATTGGTTCTTGATATTCTCTTTAATGTTATTTATTGTCTGATTTCTCATAGTCATAGATGTAAACAGTATCTATTTAAATTAATTTTAAAAATAAGAAAAACTTCTTGCGCTATAAAAAAAAGAATAATTCCCGTGGTTTTCCAATTCTTTGTAAACATGTTATTGTTAGTTTTGTAATAAACATGTAGATATATTTATATATACACAGGATGAAATAAAATTCGTTAACCATACGTAAAAATTACTACTAACTCATACTATATAATGTATGAAGTTGGAAATTTCGTAAATCAAAAGTATTAAATGACAAAAGAATATTAAAACTAGGTACTTACTAACTTAATACTTTGTATGAGAGGTTTTAATTTTTTGTCGTATTATTTTTATGTCATATCCATAAAAATAAAAATAAAAAATGAAAAATATTTACTCGATCATATGGACCAAACAAAGATTTTTGCTAAGAACTGTAATAAAATTATATAGTTATAATAAATATCGCTACATAATCTTCCACTCGTCTCATTAATTCGAGAGTGGATATTCTGAACAAAAAATTGAATTCTTCCTGCGCGTCATCTGTCTCAGAAAACGATTTATTTAGCGGCGGCCTCTATGCAACGAACGCCACCCGCGCGCCGGCACGCGCGCCCTTCTCCGCTCCTAATAACTTAACCCCCTTTTGTTTTTCTATACAAAGCTCACAATTTATTTATGAGATCAACTGATTATGTTCTGGCACGCGTTTAGGCCATAGTTCTTGAACGTTTAATTCTCATCTTCAAAACAAACAGATTATTAGAGAATTCCTCTTATTATGAATTTTCTATTATATTTGTACCCTTTAATTTTTTTACGTATTGAGTTATTATTTAAATGAATGAATAAATAAGTTTAATGACTTACATAAAATAAATTAATATTTATTATAATTATAAGTTATAAAATATATTTGTAATTTTGACAATTGGATGTTCCTTAATTTTTTTATGAGAAAATTATTACTTTCTATAAGTATAGAATTGTCAAAAAAATTTTTCGTTAAATACAAGAACAATTACAGATTATTATCATTTCATTTTTTACATAACAAAATTTTAAATTGCCCATATCTGTAGAACAGGGTTCCCTATAGTATTAATGTAACAGAACACCATCAAATACCTTTAATTTTATGGAACCTCATATTTTCCACAACTCGTCGCGCTGTCCTTTTTTACCTACCTTTTTTTTATAACACAAGGGACAAACGAACATGCGGGTCACCTGATGGTAAGTGACTACCGCCGCCCATGATCGCCCACAACACCAACGGTATTGCAGGTATGCTGACGGCCTTTTAAAAAGAACATGCTCTTTTCTTGAAGGTTATGTTGTCATATCGGTTTGGAAATACTGCTGCTGGAAGCTGCGTGGAAAAAAGTGCCTTGAAAAACGCACAGTGGAAGACCGCCACTCGTCCAGATGGTTGGTACAGAGATGCAACATCTCTGCACAGTGGGTCGAGCCGGACAGTAAGGTGCTGATTATCAATATTTACCTACTTGCATAACAGTAATGATTTCTTCTCATCACATAGTACAAATATTTCAAAATGATAATGTACTTAACTGTTGTATTATTTAACAGCCAAATATAAATAATTTCCCGTACCGTGGTTCTATGGAATGCCTAAATTCCCACTTTAGAAATCACTGCTATAGAAAACATGCTTTAAACGAAAGCTACAAGTTATTAAAAAATTCAAACGTAAGTAAACGGTTTGTGAATAGATACATATTAACGACCTTAGTGGCACAGTGGTGAGCATACTGCATTGCGTAATTGATGTCTCGGATTTGATTCCCGATCAGGCTAATATGTAAAATGGACTTTTAGAATCAGCTCAAGTCTCGATTTGAATATGGCCTCATACACACTGGACATCCTTGCTTGAGAACTAGGCGATTGATGGCACTTATCACACACAAAATATACTACATATATCAACTCAGAAAAATACAAACGGGTATACTTATGAATATTTTTTATATTGTGAGAGACTAGAACTCTCGACTATCGGATCAAGGTCGTCATAATTATAGTTATATATAGTATATAATTATATATATCATTAACTACTTGTCTATTAATATAGCAACCCGTTAGTAATATCTATTCCACTATATTTATGTAATATTACTAAAATTTATACCTAGGTATATATTTATTAAAATCTCAGCAAAAAATAAAAAAAATATTCTATTCTAAATGGCCACCTTTGGCTTTTATACAGGCCTTTAATCTTTCTGACTACGAATCTATGGATTTACGCACTGTTTCCAAAGGAAATTTCGCCACTGGTTGCTCCAAAGATTTTTTTAAGAGACTCAATGTCACCGTTTCGTTTAGAGCAGGTCCTCTAAAACTGGCCATAATTTATGATGAGATGAGAGCCAGTCTTCAGCTCTTATAAAGTCCGGAACATTGGTTTCAAGCCAGGCTTGGGTAGTTCGTGCCTTGTGAACGGGTGCAGAGTCCTGCTGTAAAGTCAACGGTATATTTTTAAAAAGTGTATCGCTGAGAGGTTTCACAACATGATCCAAGACTGTATCTTGATATAGTTTGGCTGAAGTTTTACTCCTTTTTCACAAAAATTTAGTTTTATGACTCCTTAATAAGACACGCCCTACCAAACACTCACTTATTCCGGATGATGACAACGTTGTACCTTTCCGACCACTTGAGCAGCTTCTTTAGAACTATGAGTGTACACTTTATCATTTTGCTTACTGTAGTGTTCTTCAATCGTTAAAATTTTTTCATCGGTAACGAGGATATTATTGTTATATATTTTTGCCAAACTAGTTATAGCTGTGTGCATAGTTACTTCTGTGCCCCTCATGTGTTTGTTGAACAACTGTATTTGTAACTGAACTGAACATAGGTCATCATTTCAGCCATTATCCGTCCGTGGACATAGGCTTCTTCCATAGACTACCATAAGGAAGGGTCCTGAGCTAACTGCATCCACTGACTCTCTGTAATGCATTAGAGATCATCACTCCATCTAGTTGGGGGTCGTCTTACACTGCGATTGGCCGTACTGGGTCGCCACTCAAGGACCTTTCTTCCTCATCAGTTGTCGGTTCTTCGAACTATATAGAGCCTATTGCTACTTAAGGTTGCTTACCCTTCGAACTATGTCGGTCACTTTGGTTCTTTTGCCGATATCCCCATTTCTGATTCTATCACGCAAGAAACTTCGATCAAAGCCCTCTCCAAAGCTTGCTGAGTAACTTAAAGTATTAGCAAATGGGCAACCGTGGGCAACATGCACTGGTTAAAAGCCTTCACCTTAATGTTTTGAGGTATTTTGGATGAGAAGATGTGGCGTAATTTTCCGAATGCTGCCCAGTCAAGTTAAAATTGTCGGTTGACCTCTCAATCGAAGTTAGTTTAGTCGGACAAGTTGGCACGCGTACGCATACTCGTCGACAACTTCGAGTGAAGTAGTATAGATGTGACAAGGACTTTAGACATGATTTTAATCTTTTTCATGTTTATATTAGACCTACTATGTCGAGAAGTACTATTAAGCATAGAATTCAAGTTAATTATGTAATGTTTGTATTGATAAATGATGATAGTGGCTCAATAGCTTGTTTGTTATTCTAAGTCTTATAAAAAGTTGTTTTTTTTATTATGAAAGTGGAATGGTAACTCCATTTGTGCTATTGATATATACTATAGCGACACACCAATAACTATTCCCATCTGCGCCCATCTCAGAGAGCGAAGAAGACTGGTTCGATGCGCGATCAAATCATTTAACTTGTAGTGATAAATGAACTACGAAAATTTTCAAAAAGAACTGTTGACCGTGCCGTGCGTCTGTACTAACCTGCTAGGTAAGGCGCCGCTCAGAAGAGCTCTGCGCACGCCGTACTAACTAGCAGATAAAATTAATCTATTTAATTGTTCTCTGAATGAATTAACAAAATCAGCTCTATATGAAACTAGTTACAATTGTTAATATATAAATATTTATGTGTATACATTATTGGATTATAAATTAATATAGTTACACTATTGTATTAGTTTAACTTGCACCTTTAAACATAACGATAAATGTGGATATATAAAAAATAAATAAATATTAGAGAGAGATAGACAATAGCTAGCACTTTTATTGTTAAAACCTCCGTAAGCACATATTATAATTTAATATAATAATTGCCGGTTTAAATAAATTAATGAGCGGTTGTAATAGCCGCTCAGGACTTAGTCATAATCGATCCCGAAACTAATCCAGTTTTCCCGATCACGGAAGGTAAACCGGTAGTTATTACATTAAAATATAGCTACCATTTTCCAAAAGTTGAACCGTTAAACTTTTTGTTATTACATTTAAAAAAATCACTTTTTAAAAGTATTTACAAATAAAAAGTCTCTATAATTTTATACCCCTGTTGAATAGATTCATTTTATTTGTTTAACCCTTAGTCCTCAATATTTTATAAAGTGTACCGTTGGGTGCAATTTTTGAAGTGTAAACATAAGCACTAACTACAAAATATTTTAATTTTATTTTTCGACCCCAGGCAGTAATGAGATGCTACATGTTGAGATTTGAAGAGGCCCTCATTGAATTGTCCGAATATGCCTTTCACGTCGCACGGTGTATGAGTGTCGCATTGCTTGTCATTTAAATATGCAACACAAAGCAATGTGACACATCGTGACAGGCCATTGTCGCTGTCAATACATAACCCTCGAAGTTGAAACGCCGGCAATGGAATTAAAGTTTATAACTAAAACGTACAGAATACTTGTCCAGTGTCTATCAAGTTATATAAAATAATGTCATTCATTATTTTACTAATTTAATGTATCATATTATATGAGTATATGTAACCTGTTGTTATTCACGCAAGTAACATTTTAGAGCGACATAATAAAACCACAAAATCAAATTACTATGCGCTTGGTTATCTACATAAAATGTATTTCATCAAGTTTTCTTATGCGGGCACAGCAGAGTAGAAAACTTTGCGGTTAGGTTGGAAGTGGACGAAGACGCGCTTTGTAATAATTTCGTGGTTTGACTGGAAAGAAACAAGCGAAGCAAAAATTGTCCATCTCCACAAGCCACTGCGGTTATAAATCAAAAAACTCATTATGGTCTCGTCCTCAATAATGCGCCCCGAATGTCATTATTCTCTGATTTACAAAGTAACAAACTATTTTATGCGATTTAGAAAATTATCATAAACCAAACAGGCTTAGGATAATTTTCTATACTAAAGTATTTAGGTACGCTAATCACATGAAGTAATATTTTGATTAATATTTATTCCAAAGCGAATACGGTCTAGAAAATATAACATTTTTTAATAGATTACGTATTACTATTTCATAGGTATAACTAATATTTACTTACTATAGTAAGTATAAATGGATAATACATTTTTATCTTTATGATTTCGCGAAATCACTATTTTATAGTCTATTAAAAACTATTTGACAATAATTTTGACTTAAATCTATTAGATATTTAGTTTATATTTTTCTTTAGAATGAATATTTTGTAATTCGCTTCGATAAACAAATATCAATGGTAAATAAATAATTTAAATATGTACTTGCTATTATATGCGTACTAATCAAATATGTTACTGCATATGAAATAAACGATATGATGATGATATGAACCGAGTGAAATCGAATCCGTTTCTTGGTTGTCAGCGAACTGAGAGCTGGGGACCACACGTGCGCCATGCGGAGATGATTCAGTACGTCACATCTCGACCACCGTCCGCTTCACTTAGCATCAGAACTAACATTAATGGATAGGCAAGCACAAATCTGTAGAATCATAAAAAAATTACTATACATATTTAAATTTATCGTCATCTTTTTAATATCCATTTATGTAATATTAGTGCAATAAATGAAATAATCAATCAATTTATTCAGTATCTTGTAAATTATGAAGAAGTCATCATAATTGTAATGACTGCTATATAGTTATACGTATTTGGCGCACAAAGGCAATGCCATGGCGAGTCGTCTATCATTCTACTTTGTTTAATTACGAAGTTGCTACTAATAAGTGCAGCTTATTTCAATCGGCGTAATAGCTTGACCAATCACTATATTTGATATACATGTACTATATGGGATTAAGAAAGGTATAAGCTATCTATCTCGGTCAGTGAATAACATAAATAGAGATGTATCGTATGCAAACGGCGTAACGTAGGTATATGAGGTTAAACTACCTGGGTACTCTATAATTATCATACTCGTTATCGTGAACCAATCAATACGAGAAAAAGAAACCTGGGTACTAGCGACGCTGTCACAAGAGCTAATTATTGATGGTAATCAGTCATGTAATGTCCAGATTGGTGGCGACGTGGTGAACTGGGTCATTGGGCTACCTATAATATGGTTGAACACAACAATTATAATACTGTTTTGTAATTCCTCTAATCTTGTTTCATCATATACTTGTATTTATAATTGCACAGGATTTTTTCTCTAGTCTTTTGAGCCAACTTTGGGTCAAAAGACGCAATGTAGATGAAAAAAATAGGTACAATTTGTATATTCAGATCTGCGGTAAAATTAGTATAGTAAAAATATAAGTACACAATAATCAATTGAAATAAAAATGAAGTATATGTAAAAGTCACCGTGTGGTCACGACATAGAATGGACCACCCCTTCCTTACCCGTGGGTGTTGTAAGAGGCGACTAAGAGAATTTAATCGTCGAGAGATGCCCTCTTAAAACATTACCAAAGTTTAACTGCGGTTGACCATCCATCTACCTATTTGGCAACTATTGATAAAATTCCCAATAGAGGGAAGCCTAAGTTCAGCAATATGTAAGATGATAATATAAAAAATAAAGTATAAGGTAAGCAAATGAATCGGTTCTTATTAAAAACATTTTTTCCCCCATATATTAATACGTAAGTCTAAGTACTAAGCCTTACAGACAAAAATAGTTGTAAATAGATTGTTAAAATGGATAGTTATCGAAATACTTCTATATGATTTGTAAGTAGTCTGATAACTTGGTTGAATCTTTTTATTTAAATGAGCGCAACACGAGCTTATGAAATGGACGCTGGCAGAGTCGCGGTTACCGCAGGAAACCGCAAAGTATCCACCTAAATAACTACAGTATATCAAGCTAACGCTTTTTGTTTTGTAATTTAAGTATCAGAAGTGCGTAACCATAGCCATTAGTCGAACGAATCAATTTTTTTTTTCCTTAAAACTAACCTTATTCTTAAAATATATATCTAGTCAGTTATGTACTAATATGGTAGAATGACCAGTATGACAGACGTATTTTAATAATGTAAGGAATACAGATAAATTAGTCTCGAAAAGTACTTAGTTGTACTAAAGGAAGATTTAGGACAAAAGTGGTCTGTTTGGGTACCTTTGTCTTATGTGTTTCTATCGTGAAGAAGTTGCGTTTGCATGGATGTTTTCGATTTAAAGAGTTGAATACTATTATCGTTTCCCCGTTTTGTTCTTGGCAAAATACCCTAATATCGGGGTGAACGCCACAAAAAAAGAAAAAAAAAAAAAATATGCCATTGAAGTTAGAGGATACAGAGCAACGGCAAATGGCAAAGCATGAAGGGTATCATGGGTGACACCTTAGATTATAAACTGTATACGGTGTACTATGTCTAGGGGTGATACAGTATCCTCTGTTATGTTCATGGTACTGTTTATTTTTATAGGAGACTTGAAGGTCTGTTTAAAATCTGGTGCATGTTTCATCTTGATAATACATTTAAAAATGATATATTTCATTTGTTTTCTTTCTACTGAAATATAAATACAAATTTCAACGACGAATATTATTTTCTATAAGCTATGCCATCTAGTAACATAAAATAGAACTAATTCACAATAGTAATTTTTAGTTTTTCAATCGCTCGGTAGAGGCAGCACCCAAAAACTAAAAAAAATATTAATAATAAAAATTAAAAATGTTTGTGATTAAAAGTGAAAATTGATAGCAAATGCAATTTTTATACACAGATATAATAATAAAGCAGACAAAGCATAAATTAAACGTATGAGTAAGACATTTATCTCTTCTTATTACAGTTATTGTGCAATTAACTACACAACTATTAGTAATCGACAACGAAAACATTTGTTTTAATGTTAATAATCACTAGCTTTATTTATAAAAATGTATTTGTAAAAAGATTAATAGACCTGTTTTTTTTCCACAGAATATATTTGATAAAAGCAAGATTTGCGAAGAGATAAATTATTAACCATTCATTGTAGATGATTGTATAACACAAAGTGTATAGAAAATTGTTAAAACTAAGTAAACAAATAAATATATATTATTATATATATTTATTTGTACAAAAGTCGAACGACTTTTGTACAAAGTCTCCCAGAGGGAGACTTTGTACAAAAGTCGTTTGCTTGGGTACCTCTGTCGCATTCGTGTTTCAACCGTGAAGCAGTTGTGTTTGCATGGCTGTGTTTCGATTTGAAGGGTGCGATATGGCGTGAATTTACTGGGTACAGAGGAAAAACACCTGAGTCCTCAGGGATGGCAACGCATGGGGGGTATCATGGGCAAAACAGTATACTCTGTTATGTCCATGGTACTGCTCATGTCTATAGGCGACGGTTACCACTTTCCATCAGGTGGGCCGTCAGCTTGTTTGCCATTCTTAGTTGTATAAAAAAAAAAAAAAAAACTTTTCAAGTGAAAATAGATTATGCAAAAAATAGAACAAAAATTAAGCTTTTTCAATATATATTGATCGAATGTCAACACAATCATTTTGGATATGCAATTTGCATATCCAAAATGATTGCGTTGACATAATGTAGTAGTGGTAGTAGCATCATAACAAGGAGACAATTTACAGTTGAACCATGCCAGCACACACAATGGCAGCTGTTGCTTTAAAAATATTTATAGGAAAATACAACAGTAGTCTAATAATTTAGTACATATACTGTTAGTGTGACTAATTATAAATATATATATATATATACGACTATAGATACATGTATATAAATATCATAATATAATTAATGCAATAAATTAAATTTATAACTACATATTTTTTGTTACTAAATTCAATTAAATATAAGGCAAGACTAGGCAATACCATCAAATACTATATGGTTTTCAGTACTTTACCGCGAAACACTACCAACGAGTTATGGCTTAAGTCTATATCCGGATCTAAACCGCATATATGACTATAGTTATTGTATATTCGTGCAAGCGGAGCACTCTATCCTAAATTAGTTTTCAACAGTGACATAAAATATTTTATTGATGGGATACCTAGGGATACTTATATATATACCAATTGTAATCATTATACTGAATGAAATGTCTAAATGGGTCACATCTTATTAAATGTATGTGTAAATATCATTTAAATAAGATTTATTTATACTTTCTTTGTTTTTGTTATTAGAAATGTCTAAATATAAATTTATTATACTAAATCTCAAATATAGAATACGAATATAGATATAGTAGTACAACACTATTAGCGATAATTATCGATGACTGTAGCCTTTAGTAGTCTCTTTTTTGAAATGTCAAATCACTAACCTACAGATTTTCCTATTTGTTTTTACTTCGGTTTTTAGACAATCTTTTTAGTCTGTGTAATAAAAATATCATCTGTGTAATATGAAAAGTAGTCTTTCTAATATCTAGATTATTTATATAAATTATAATAACTGAAATGTTTGTAAACAACTGAGACATCAAAAATTCAATAAGACAGAGAAAATTTTTAATTAGTTATTATTTACATCACTGAAGTAAGTGGTATGATCTAATCACATTAATAATATATATTTATGATAAATTCATTCATTGTCAAAGTTTAGTACTTGTAAATTAATGTATCAACCATTTAAAAGTTTCCTATCTCCTTTATAGAAATAGATCCAGGTTTGTAACAAAAAAGTTATTATTATGGACAAGTATACTATACCAAGTTTGCCCACCACACAACATATATTGGACGATTTAGCTGATCCTACTACTATTCAACTAGATGAACTTAGAAACACATCTTGTTCAGAAGACGAGATTTTACAAAATGTGAGTTTGTGTTATAAAAATTTTAAGCAATTAGAAGAAGATTTGTTAAAACAACAAGAATTAAACATGAAATTAGAAGAATTGAATCGTAAGTTAGTGGAAAATATAGATAATATGAAGAAACAAACTTAGGTTTTCAACAATGTGATAAATTATGAAGTGTCATGTTTTATGTAAATCTGTTTGAAATGATATCTTAAATAGTTTATTTTATACATTATAGATTATTAAGAACTAAACCAATCTTAATTATGATTTTTGTTTACAAATTAGTACTGGTCCATATTCTTTAGAATGATAATCTAAAATTTTAGTTCTAGAAACTTTTTACTTATATAAATTTAAATGCAACAAAACAAAAAGATTCAATTGTCAAATAAAATTAATATTTCCATCAGCTACAATTATTTGGATCTAACAAAAATAAAAATAACTTATCATTTTATGAATTCATTTTATTATACTTCCTAATTGTATTAATTCTTCCTGTGTTATCAATCCTAATTTGTGTAAACAAACCAAAGCAGCTCCTTGCTCTGCAAATTTCTTATTTTTTTCCCAAAATGTTGAGGCATACTTATGCCCATTAAATGTGATAATAGTACGAAACAGTTTCTCTACTTGTTGTGTTTCATATACTGGGATCTTATAACCATTCTTTCCAGCCCATGCATGAAGCCTTGATTTAGGTAAGTTAAGATCATTAAAATTAGCACGAATAAAACAGACCTGGAAAATTGAAATGCAATTATTAATTAGCATTATTTCTTATTTTATAAATCCTACATGATAAAAACCTTTTCATAATATGGTCCATAAAGAATAAATATACTGACTTTCATTTCTGTGACGCCATTAAGCTCTTCTGCAGGTAATTTTATTTTTTTATGAGGTGGCTCAAGTTCACTAGGTGTAACTTGCCATCTCCCTTGAATTCCCATTTTCTGATATTGGGATTGCTTCTCTTGACAGTAATCACCAAGTCCCCAAATAGAACTGAAAATAAAATACATCTAAATGAAGAAAAGAGCATCCCAAAAAAGCTGAACAGTTGGCTGGTACATGTTTTTTCATATAATGTGTTCAAAGATTTAATCTCTTGTCAGGTTGTAGGAAAGTCTAAAAGTATTATATTCATAAAACAAATAAAATTATAGTTTCACCATTACAAAATTGGGACATGTTTTATAAACTTGTCATTGTAAAAAGGAATAAGACTGTTTTTCAACCGCTTTAAAAAAGGAGGTTATCGTTTTGATTATTTTTGTTACTTCATAATTTTGTCAGTTCTAAACTGATTTAGAATTTTTTTTATCTGAAATGATATACTTGCAGATTGGGCCCTTAGAAATTTTATCAATCAATCAAGTTGCAACAAAAAAATTAAAAATTGATTCAGTAGTTTAGTTTTTAGATTAAAATAACTGGTTGTGTCACAATTGAATTTTTTTTGTGACACACAATCTTTATTTACATAGTAGCATTTGCAACATGGTATAGTTATTACTGATATACAGTTTTAAAGCAGCATAGCATATCATTAGTTCAAATATAAATAAATACCATATTTGTTCTAAAGTCTGACATTCTAGAAATTGTCTTCCTCTTGGAGTTTCTTGCAAGTCTCTCAAAATGTTTTGTATGCAATATTTTGTATTAGACGGTGAATTGTCATAATCGACTGCAAGTTTAAGATAATCTGTAATGACCAAGTCCATAGGTAGTAAACCTTCTTTTCTAAAAATGGAACAATTCCATTCTGCTGCCCTTGCAATCATTACACTGGTACAACCTGTCAGCTCTTTAAATTTGTATATGTCACCATGTTTTTCAATTTCTTTGGAACCCCCACTGAAATCAAATAATATTAAAATTGTAACTAAGAATAACCACTTTGCAGCTGCAGCATAAAACAGAGCTAGAACAAAAATACCTATATATATATATATATATTGTTATGGTAAAATTGTAGTATTACATACATTAATAATTGACAAGTTAATCTTTTGTAAAAATAATGGGATGAAAACTATTCTGATTATATATATATATATATATATATATATATTGTTTATTGCTGTGTAGTCCCAGCATAGAATAGACCACCCCTTTCTTTGCCGTAGGTATTGTAAGAAGCGACTAAAGGAACTTAATTGTCTAGGGATGGGCAGCAGTATCCCTCTTAATACATCACCAACACTGTAGTTGCCAACTCGCCTGCCAAATGTGGCAACTACTTGCAAAACCCTCTTATGAGGGAAGCTTATGTTCAGCAGAGAACAGTTAACAGCATATTTTAAATTAATTTTTCTGTATTGCACTTGTAAATTACATAGATTACATATAATATATATAAATATTGTAAGCAAGGGTGGACTTATCTCTGTAACAGATCTCTTCCTAATAGAGTGAGAAAGCATGAATTATACACTTACTTTGCAATAACTGGTATACATATACTTTCTGCAATATAGCGAATGATGTCTGTGTGCACAGCATGTTGAGGTCGTTCATCACGTGTTCTACCATGTATGGCAATAGCTTTAATTCCTGAACTCACCAATTTATTCACAAGTTCTAAAGTTTTTTCTGGAGTCTCAAATATTCTTATTTTACAACTAACTGGAATAGAAACATTTTTCACTAATGTTTTTAATATAGTATTTGCTTTTTCTGGTTGAGCCATGAGAGCTACACCCATTCCACCTTTTATGGAAAACTCTTTGGGACAACCCATATTTATATCAATGGCAGCTACATCATTTTCACTGTAAGTATTAAGAGAAAATAATGATATTTATATCTATACTAAGTCGACTAAATACAACTTAAAAAAAACTAACATTGTTATTTTTTTATTATATTTATATTTACATATTCTTTATTGACCACGCATAGCATTCTTTCCCAGTCAAGCATCAAGTATATATATATACATACATACATACATAGAAGAAGCAATAACCTACTGAATATAACTCAAGTAATATATTACATAAATTCTTACACCATTTTTGCAACTTTCAGTGCTCGTTCTGCATCACATGTACCAAGTTGTAATACAACTTTCTCTTTTTCCTCCTTACAGGTTCTAAAGACAATTGTACCATCTGTTTGGTCAATGTAATCTATAGTATTAAGAATTTCTGAAATAAAACAATGAATCTAATTTTTGTCATGTTATTTCAGCATAAATACCCATAAATATATAATTTTTATGTGTATCCTAAATTCAAATCCATTTACTAGTTTCAGTATAATTGAGATTGAAAGCTACCTGACAGCCTTCTGGACAGAATACAAACATTTTATTACTGGTTGTCACGATCATGATGTGCACTTACAAAAATAAAGTTTATTTGGTAGTATAGCCTGTTTTTCTATATTTGGCATAATAATTAATAAGCTTAGCCTTGCAAGCTTATTAAATTTAAATCATCTTTATTTAAATAGACTCATTCACAAACTCTTTCAAATCATCCCAAAGTCTTATCATCGAGAAAATCGCACAAGCAACTCAATAGTTACTCTTTTGACATATTAAGTTAACATATATTTATTTAAATGTAATTTTAGTCATAGTATGACTAAAATTACATGGTCATTAAAAGCCCATGCATGGTCCATTAACACCATGTACATTTATCATTCAAGTAATTGTTTAGTATGTAATAAGTTTTGTTCAATAAATGTTTTTTAATAACAGTTTTAAACTTATTAGAAGGCAGATCTAGAATATCCTTCCATATCTTATTATAACATTTAATGCCCAATGACATAAACACCTGTTAACTTTTTCTAAACAATATTTAAAAACAGCAAGTTTGTATTTGCATCTCGTGTTAAGATTGTTGAGATTGCTGTGTTTAAGAAATAGTTGAAGATTCCTGTGTATATACAAAATGTTTGTGTATAAATATCTGATTTGATAAATATATGATCAATTAAATACAAAATTTAGCTATTTCTATTTGTTATAATATTTATATGCATTATTGGTTGTTTACTAATTGTGCCACATCTATAAAAACAATAGGGTAAATTGTGGGCGTCATAATTTAAACCAATCTCTATTTTAATAGTTTTGCAACAGCACTATTTTATGGACTATTATAAACTTCATTTATAATAATTTGGACTTAAATCTATTAGAAAGTTAGTTCATATTGGTAAAGAATTATTACGTGATATCAAATTGAAATTTAGATTTTATAGATAAGAGATAGGAATTTCAACACTGACCCCATCATTTATTGCCTAATAATCATAGTAAGTACTTCAATTTTGCATTAATTTGTAATTACCGTTACATTTACGTCTTGAACGCAAGAATTTCCAATCAATTAATTCTTCAGTATATACAATATCAGCACCATATCGAAGAGCTAAAAGTCTCATTGGTAAGGTTCCAATTCTTACCATAGGAGCAAGTATTATTTTGTCTTTATAATTCATCTTAAATCAATTTAAGTCATCAATAATCACAGTAAGCAAATTATTTAAAAAAATGTATACTGTTTGCTGAAATTTGATTTTAGTTTATAGGTTAGATTATTATCATAAACGTCACTGGTGAGTGTTAAAAGCAAAACAAATTATTAAGAGTTCGCATTGCCCTTATATTGATAATACTGAAAGGCATGAGAATCAATTTACGTTCCCATTTAGAAGCACAAAAAATAAATTAATATTTATAACTTACTACAATATAAAATATACTTTAGAACTTTGTCCAAAATATTAATATATATAAATTAGAGAAGAAAAACGTACTTTATTTATAGTATAAAATTTTCAGATTCTTTGAACTGGTTGCATAGTTATTTTACAAAAGTTTTTTATTTAAAGCGACGATTTGGATTTAAATTAAATAGAAAAAGAAAAGTCATAGATTAAGAATCGCACCTACAAAAAAATAGGTGGTAAGCAATTCGAATAAAATAAAACTCTTTACCTACCCACAGACTAAAGATAATAAAAAATTCAATGGTGCTTATCTATGTGAAAATCCTTACATTATAAACTAGATTGATTGGAACAATCCATTCAGAAACGTATGCATTTAATTTAAGACATTTAATAATTTAACCCTTCTTTGCATGATTTTTTTTATTAGTGACATAAATCAAGGTGATATAATTCGTGTTCAAAATTATAGGAAATGGTTAACAAAATAAATTTAAAAGCTATGTTTTTTTTCTGCAATGGACATTAAAAAGGTATCCAAACACTTATATAGTTTTCAGACATTTAATGTTATGATGAAAATTTTCACCATTATGCAAAAAAGGGTTAAGGAAGATGGGAATTCCAGAAATAAAATTCCAGATTTAAGAAAAAGTTCCAGACAGAAACTTTTTATTTTTAAGACTTGGCAGTGTGGTCTTTGACCTTAGCCTATTCCTCTGATACCGATATACCAAAAAAAGGAACAAATGTCAATAAAATCCTTATTTTCTGTTGTCATTGTTGAAAAATAATTTATTTTTAATACGAATTGTGGGGATATTGTTTCACCTAATATTGCTAAAAATAATAATACAACCACGAAATAATAATACTACGCAGCTGATTAGAACAGATTTTTTAAGTTATATCCTTCAAAAAATACTATCAGGAATAGTTCTGTTAGTACACAACTCATATAAAAAATATAACATGAAACCTACAGTGGCTGCTGATGAAATGTTTCCTGAAGGTGTGGGACCCTATATGGATTTAGAAGAAGTATGTAATAAAATTATTAACTTATTTGTAAGAACTAGAAAATATTAAACTATTGCACTTTAGTTGTATGCTGTTCATATATATAAATGTATGAAGAAAGCAATTTTTGTATATATAATTAACTCTATGAAGATATTTAGTAATATAACTTACTTTTGTTTATATGCACATGTTTGTTCAGCAGCAAAACAGAATTAATGGTCCATTAAGCAATTGGACATGTCTTTTCCTACTTAGGAATGTATGTATCTGCAAATTTTCTCAACTATTGACAATCTCGATTATAATTTTTTTTATACAACTTAGAATGGCAAACAAGCTAATGGCCCACCTGATGGAAAATGGTAACCGTTGCCTATAGACATGAGCAGTACCATGGACATAACAGAGTATACTGTTTCACCCATGGTACCCCCCATGCATTGCCATTCCTGAGGACTCAGGTGTTATTCCTTTTTACCCTGTAAATTCACGCCATATCTCATCCTTCAAACTGAAATACAGCCATGCAAATACAACTGCTTCGTAAATCCATACAACTGATATCTAAATAATCGAATATCCACTGTATTAAAAAATGTGCAAAACAATGTAATATATTTGAAATCGGTTTAGCCACTATGTTTTGAATATTTTCTTTACAGGCTGGCGGTCCATCTAATCTGCTTATGGATTTAGCTGCTAATGAGAAAGCTGTTCATGCAGATTTTTTTAATGGTTAGTGCTTATAATTATTATAGATGTTTTTATTTGTAAGTTATTTATTAGGAAAGATATTGGTTTATGTTAAGAGATCAGAAAACTTAGTGGTAAGTTTATATGCAATCTATTCTGTAATATATATATATATATGTTTATATATATATATATATATATATATATATATATATATATATATATATATATATATATATATATATATATATCAATATTATAAATATTAATCTATATATTTATTAAATTTAATCTGAAATATTTGAAATTGTTCAGTTGTTAATATTGTTGGCAAATGATGGAATTTTGTATATTTTTTGTAATATGGATAATCAATAATTTGTATAATTTAGTCTTTTCTGTTTTCGACTATAAATAATTTTGATTCCTGTTTAAGACTTGTATATACAAATTGTCTTTTGCATGTACAGAAATTAGTGAAATGTGTAAAAAGTACATAGTACAAAGATGCCACAATGATGACAAGTCTTAAAACTCTGTTTTTATTTATAGTATTTTGCATCTAGATTTACACAATCATTTCTGAATTATGGTTAAAGAGAGATGAGAATATTTAAAACACTTCTACTTAAAAACGCAATTAATATTTATGACAGATGGCACTTAAAATCGAGCTTTAAGCAATGTATACAATTAACTTTCATGGGTAACAAAAATTAATTAAAATGTTAAAATATTTTAATACAGTTATCAGTCATACTTTACTTACAGTTAATTCATATAAATTACATAACCTGAGTGCATCTAAGAACAGTGAATATTTAAAAAAATACCCTAATAATTATTTTTTGATTGATTGATTGCCATTGATTGCTGAGATAACTTATTTTAATATTTTTTTGTTGCAGATTTTGAAGATTTATTCGATGATGATGATTTAAAATAAAAGTACCTAATAGTTATTTTATTGCTGTTTAGTTTAAATGTATACTTTTAGCTATTAAAGAGAATAAACTCTAGATCTTATTAAAAATGGGCTTTAACTATTATAGTTTTTCCAATTTCGATTGTTATTAATTTGAACTAGTTTTTACATTTTTTTTTTTAGTGTAACATACAACCATACAGCCCATTTGATGGTAAACAGTCACTGTAGCCATGGCTGTTATGTGCATGTTGCTGACTCAGAAGGAACTTTAATGCATTTTTTAAAGAACCATATTGTAGTTTCTAGGGAAAACCTCAGCAGGGAGCTCATTCCACAACCTGAGTGTTCACAGGAGATACTCACCTGAAATTGCACTATTTAAAAAATATTTTGATATTATTATCAACAAATTTAGTTGTTCAATATTGTTTATACTCTTTGCAGTCAATATGTGTGTCATTATATTTTGTAAATTTATTTATCTAAATTATCAGAATCCAGTATGAACAATTGATGAAATATCTTTAATCAAAATCAGTAGCATATAAAATGCTACTTTCCAAAACCTTAATCAGATGAGGGTCACACGCTTGGCCCAGATGAATTTCATTGGATTGAGTAGCATCAACATCCACTGGATTAGTTTAAATGCAAATTAATTTGCATCTATGAAATGTATTAATAAGTTACATAGAATCTAAAATTTGGTAGAAAATATAAATTAGAAATTATAGACAAAATCATTATTTGATCTTTTATTGTTAAAGTGGTGTTTCAATAGGTTTTCCAAAGATATTGTATTTAGCTTGATTGCTTATAAAATGATGTTATTTATAGTTTTAATGCATAGCATATTTATTGAGTGGCTTAATCTTGAGGAACCAAATACAGAGTCAAATTAGAAGCAATTAATATAGTGACAAGCGGTTATGTAGACACAGATGCTAATGAAAATTTTATAAGAGATTTGCAAAAACATTTTAAATGTATATTAAAAATTACCTTTTTCTGGTTTTTATAACAACATTACCAATGTACAGTATTTCAATAACAAAATATTTTGTCATTACAAAAGAATATTAGATTGATAATTAATTGCAGCAGCTAATTTTAACATAAATAATACCATTTTACCAACAATCTAAATACACAACTAAACTTATGAAACCTGCAGACACAAATTATTACTTTCTTTTAATTTTTCCAGTGTCATATTTTATTCAAATGTCATAAAGAGCCAAAGAGATTTGTAATTGACAAATAATAAATCTATAGTAAAATACATTTAATTAATTATTATATAACTTGTAAGTTTAGTTGTGATTGCACATATGCATTTGCAATAATGTTGTTCCTATAAAAACTAAAGAGAAAGTAAAGAACAAATTCATTAACAATTGTCACATAAGTGTATGTATAATTGCACAATAGACCAGTTTGTTACTGTTTGTATGGCCTCTTTTCGTTTCTTCCTTGCTTCTTGTTTTTTTTTTCATAAAGATCCATTTCTGACACTCACATTGATAGTTTGTTACACTAGTATAAGTTTAGGATCTCCATTATCCTACTCTTAAGTAGTGTAGCACATTTCATAAGTTTAACACATTTCAATTAACACCTAAATAATATTATACATAAAGTACTTGTTAAAGTCGCGCGTTAGCGCGGGACATGGTCGCTAGACGTCGACGTCACTACTGTCGTCACTATAATCGTTGCCGTCAGGCTCCTCGGCGTCGTCTTCTGCTTCCCCTTCACCTTCTATTGTTTCTTCTTCGACCGTATCGTCCATTTCTTCTTCTTCAAGTATACTTGATAACTTGGATATGACCCCTCTGCCCATTTCTGGAAAACAGGTAATAAAATTAATCAGCATATTGATTGACATAGGTCTGATACGAGATAGACTGGATCGCAGGAAGCGACATTGTAACAACATATTTGTGATATCCAGTTCCCATGACCTATTAAGACACAGCCCAGCAGGTATAAAATTCTCTGGCATACTAATTTAATTGACATGGAAGATAAAATGAAAAATGAGTCTACACAGATTGTGGCAATAATAAAACTCACATTCTGGTATATTATTAGATTTATAGGCATCACGGGAAAGAAAGGGGTGACCCGTTTTATTGGCACAGAATGGGCCATCGCTTCCATTCCTGTGGGTGTAGTAAGAGGCAACTAAGGGAACTTAGTGGTCAAAAAACAACGGTTGATATGATTACTTTTGATGTAATTTAATAATAAATAAAAGATGTGCCACACAATCACACTAGGGCCTGGATCTCGAAACAACTAAAATAATATGTTTATTGAAAAATGACTCAGGGGGTATAAACAAGTATACTGAGATCTAATGAAATTTTATAAATTTGCCAACTTGAAAACTGATCCTGGGATCTTAACGTCAAGTGTGTCTAAGAGGACGTAGCTTCGTAAACGCCTTAAAATATGCCGTATAGATTGTGCAGCCTAGCGTTGTATGCTATACATATAGCATATTGTAAGTTTTCGATAATCAGCGCATATCTCGTAACAATTTCTGCCAATTTTATAAACAAACACGTCCAATTCCACTTAATGTAGGATGGGATATTATGAAACATATATCCCAGCCTACATTAAGTGGGATATAAAATATATATAGAGACGCGAATGTGGCGGTGCCAGTTTCGTCGACAGAGTTTATTTAATATCATTCAATAAGCAGAAATTAGTCTATGAAGCCTTGAAGAAATTGATGGATTGTAGGTTCAAAAGTAGAATGTACGTACCTACTACAAATATAAAAAAAAAACAAAAGTACATACGTTCCACATAATGTTCCAATGCTTTTGGTACCATATTTTTAGCTCTTTCTATATCTTCATCTGAGCACATCCCCTTATCTAATCCTGTAAAGAATTATAGTTAAAGATGACAAGTGAAATTTAGTTTATTTTAATATATTTTAAATAAATATAATGGTACTAACCAAATAAAAGGCCCATTCTTTTTAATATGTCTATATCATCATAAATTTGAAACTTTTTGTTGAAGTTAAACATATACTCTGTCCTAAAAATAAAATACATTGATTTATAGAGTAATAATTAACAGGATATAAACTTCACAATGTACTACCATAAGTTATACTCACTTATCATTAGAAATACTACAGTCAATCAAGGCTTTGTCACTCGTATTCACTACAATAAATGGTAGATGTATTGCAGATGAAGGTGATGGCTTCACACCCTTGTTCTCTGCCTCTTTGTTTCTTTGTATCAGACTTTTGAATGATATATGCTAAAAAAATTTTGATATAAAAATTTTAAGTCTAATTTTTAGAAATATCACAACTTTACTACTACTACTATTACGACCTTATCAATGGTAATTTCACAAAGGTATCTATAGGGTAAATTTTGAAAGTTGGCGGGGGCGGAGGGGTACTGAACTGACATACATTCGTTCGGAATATGCCAAAAGTTAACGCATTATTACTTCTTTTGAATTGTGAAATGGTTGGTTGAATTTTATTATAAAATTTTTGTAAATTTTTGGTTATCAATTTAGTTTTTTTTTTTATGTTACATTGGTAACAATAATGTATTTATATTTTTTATATATATAAAAGATACGACTTCAATAGAAGATTAAAATTATTCTTAGCTTACTATAATAAATTTAGTTTACCAAACTTGTCAAATTTTGACTATATTGGGCCAAGGTGGCCAAATTATACGAAGCTCTATTTAAGTGACCAAATTGGACTGAATTTGACTAAAGTCGGTTAAGATGAAACAAACAGCTTAAATATACCAACTTCAATTTAAATGATCAAACTTAGTCAAATTAGGTCACACTTGATCAAACTTGAATAAATTTTGACCAAATTTAGTAAAACTCATACAAAGTTGCTTAACGTGATTGTATTTGATACTCCACTGAATTACACTGACTTACTAATTTGGTAGTCGAGTCAAGAGATAAAAACATTACATCAGCCACAATATATTATTGGGATTGAAGATGAAGAAGATAATGATGATGAGCCATGTTGAGTCGCGTCGAACTTAAAATTTTTTGTTGGCTTAAAATGGATTAGTAGGCCCGCTTTCGCTATCGATATACGCTATCGGAGCACCAGTGAGAGACGATAGATGAGGATGAAAACAGGTTAGTTCGCCCATTGTGACGAATCTCACAAGAATAACCACGATGTTTTCCAAGAGGAATCACCTGGAGGTCGACTTGAATTGATCTATTGCTAGCAGTGGGGCTGTTAGATCCCATTACTTATATTCCGTCTCCCCCAGGGTTCAGTAAATTTAAAAGTAAAAGTTCGCAACACGAAACTATTCAGAAATGATATTCATATCGAAAATGTGAAAAAAGGGATACTTAAATTGAGAATTCTCTCATTTTGAAATCGGTTGTGTCCCTTTGCGACGAGAGATAAACGACTTATGAAGACTTCTTGCACTTGCAAATATTATAAATGTGAAAGTGAGTTTATTTGATTGTTACATTATAAAATTAGAACGGTTTAACCAATCACTATAAAATTCGGTGTGTGTACGTACTATAAGGAATGGAGAACGATATATAGTACGTGTATATAACATTTTATATGGGATAGAGAAGTGATTTTTATCCCGGTTAATAAACATATCCTAGTCACATGTACGAAGTTGCGGGTAAAAGCTAGACGTATGATAATAATATTATTTTTATGTACCAGAATCATATTAATAAATATACAAAATCTTAATAACCAAAGAGTACATAGCTATAAGATTTAATATTACCTGTAAAATAAGCTCTTGAAGTTGTTGTGTTTTCTTCTGGATTTGTTCAAGTTTCAACTGTTTCTCTTTTTCCAATGATGTACATTCTTGTACTGAATTTGTAGGTAAACCAAGCCATCGAATTTCTTTTTTCTCTTTTGATATTATATTCATAGCCATTAAAACATTTAATGCATCATATACTCTTCGTCGTATGTTCTTTTGGTCATAGTGCTGAAAAGTGAAGTAATTCTGAATAACTTTTTTACTAACTTTCTTTTGATTATATAGTGACTAACTTTAAATTTCCTAAGATAATAATATTCAGAAAATATCTATTTATTATTTGAGTATTTTTACATGCATATTTACTAGTGTTTACAGTAGGAGAAAGAAGCTATAAGTACAATTTGTAAAAGAAAACATTTTAAATAGTGTATTAGGTACATATTTACCAGAGGGAGACTTTGTACATAAGTCGATTGCTTGGGTACCTCTGTCCCATTCGTGTTTCAACCGTAAAACAGTTGTGTTTCGGTTTGAAGGGTGGGATATGGTGTGAATTTACTAGGTATAGAGGAATAACACCTGAGTCCTCCGGAATGGCAACGCATGGGGGGTATCATGGGCGAAACAGTATACTCTGTTATGTCCATGGTACTGCTCATGTCTATAGGCGACGGTTACCACTTTTCATCAGGTGGGCTGTCAGCTTGTTTGCCATTCTAAGTTGTATAAAAAAAATACTTCAAAAAAATATAAATTTTATACATTTTTGCCTAAATTTTTTTACATAGAATATTTTTAAACATGTTTTTTAAACATGTAATAAGATAATATTTATAATACCAAATAGGAAACACATACTTGACTATCTGCTGAACCATGCATGCCAGCCGCAAATTCTAATACTAACTCATCAGCTACTTCGTTGTATGATGTGAAACCTTTGGTTCTGACTTTTTCACATACTTTCATAGAAAAATGCCTTAGACCTTTTCCAACTTTATCAGCGTGTTTACGTCTTTTTGTAGTACTGGAAATTACAAATTATTAAATTTTATCTACATATACAGCTACAGTTACCTTTTACGGGTAGATTATGATGATCATCTTCAAAATTAGTGATTCAATGTTTTTGCGTCAAAAATTTCGTAAAAAAGTGAGTTTATTTGTTATCTTATAGCGCCTTAACGTTTTAACCAATTACTATGAAATTTGATATACACGTACTATATGGAGATGGATATAGACTTTTTATCCCGATATAGACGATGCCGCGGGTAAAAGATAGTAAATTAATAAATATTCAGTTTATTATACAAAATCAAACAGTAACTGTGGATATCGTTATTGCGATTATTTCGTTTAGCTTATAACAACTCATAACAATTTAATCAATGATTTCTATAAATTTTCTGAGATACTGTACAATAATTGGGCCCAATACGAACTCTTTAATATATTATGTAACTTAATAGCAAATAAGCTGGCGGCTCACCCGATGGAGTATTAAAATGTTAAGTATATAGGTAAAGTTTTTTAATTCAAGAATTTTCAAGGCCCTCTGCAGATTAGGAACAGAGGTAATAAAAATATCCACATAATTAACTAGCTTTCGAATTAGAATGCCTTATGTTACGAGAAACCATACAACATATTTGGGGGCACAGCCCAGAACACCAGAAACACTTTAGAAAAGTTTATTTAAAAAATTCGCTTCACTGAGAAATGAACTCAAGTCCTCATTTATAAAAAACGATGCCTAGATGCCTACCACTGATCTATGAAGAATTAAACTTACTATTCCGTAGGAGGATCATTATCCGAATCGTGCCTTCTTCTAGAGGCATGAGACATAGTAAAAGATGTCAGATTTTTCTTTTTAATTACTGCTTCAGTATTTGAAAGATTTAGTATTGTTTGTATAGGTACTAGATCTGGTACAGTTTCAATATATTTTAATTCTGTAAGTTGTTGATTTATGACCTGCAATTAAAAGAGATTTTAATACTTATAAGATATAAAAATATATTATAAATACATTGGGTGATGATATATGGGGATGAAGTCAGGTCAGTTGGCCCATATTCATCCGGAATAAATCACCATAATTTCCAGGACGGACTGCGTAGAAAGCCTGACAGGGTATAATTGTTAGCAATAATCAATGAGGCTATTAATTCATTTTACTGATAAACCGCTCACATACACACACACACACACACAAAAATTAAGAGGTTTCGATTATGGTGCGAATTCTAAAGGCAGAGGTATGTGTTATACGAAAATATAAGATTTTTGCTCACGACGATTTACGAATTTTTTAATAGATTACAAATGGTTCATATTTGAAATATTTTATAAGTTTTCGTAATTATCCAACCAATATTTATCTTATTTGTAACATATATTAATAACATTACAAATGTTAAGTGAAATGATATAGAGCAATCATTAATCATTTACGACTAGATTTGGAGTCATCTTTTCATCTCTAAGCAAAGTATAATGTTCTAAAACCAACTAGTAGGATGGCTTTTGTTTTTTTGTATGCTGGTTGTGAATTTTGTAAATACTAACTGATTGAAGCTTGTATTTTAAATAGAAGCATTGTACATACTTGGTTTTCTTCGTAGTCAGTAATAGGCTCTGTTTCAGGTTTCTGGGGTAGTGTTTCAATAGGAATTTGTACGATTTCTGAAAACAAAGTTGGTAAGGTCAGTAACAAATAGTGTCTATCTATGTATTGTCATCCTAGCTCCTTTACGGGATAAATAGCGAGAACGAAATGATAATTATTGTAAATAATAGAAAGGAATTTGTTTTTAGATTATAGGATGATACTAATCTAAGGGCAGATATACTATATCATAATATCATGATTGCATCATTTGGGTAGCACCCAAAGGCCCTGAACTTAAACCTACTATTAAAGTTTGATTGGTTTAATATCAACTAAAAAAGTATAATAAAACTAACGTTTCTTCCCACTTCTTTGTATGGATTTCAGAAGTGGGGAAACCATAGACTACGCTATTTCTAGATAGAATAACAATACAAAACATACATCTGTTTTTAAGTTAGAGCTTCAGGAACACAATATGAAAAGAGCTTTTAATTTGGTCTGTATGTTTGTTCCGACATTACGCAATAACTACTGTTAAACATACACATTATTACTAAAAATCATTATTTTGACTTATATTTCTTTTATTAAGACCTCACATATGATGTTTTCTTAAATATTTCCCATGTACACACATTATTAAGTAATATTAAATTAGCCACATCTTAACATAAGTCTCTTCCTTGGGTGGTTTTGCCAGTAGTTGCCATGCTTGATAGCAATTGAGCATTGAGGTTGGCAACCACAATAAGGCTTTGGAGATATTTTAAGTGGGACGCTGACGCTCATCCTTCGCCATCCCTTAGTTGATCTTACGACACCCACGGGAAAGGCCTATTCTATGTCGGGACAACATGGCCATATATCTTTATTGTAACAAATTTATTTATATATTAGTTAATCACAGCATCAGTGAATGCGACCGTGAGTAGTGGGGGAGGGAGAGAGAGAGCCCTATTACTAACAATATACCCTGTCAGGTCGACCTTCCTCATGGAAACCATCGTGTTTAATTTCTGAATTCACTTCACTCTCACCTACTATACCTTATTGGTACTGTATACCAGTAGTGCATCATCCATAAAAAATATGATAATACTAATAATTTAATTCCATAATTTATAGGCCACCGATATTTTTTACCATGCCATATTTGGCCGTTTGATGCGATTGGTTTCGGTAATATAAATAACCAGAGGCGCACATTATGTGATCCTAAGTAACACTAATAAAGAAGCAGGTAATCTACTTCTTTTTAAAGAACAACACGAAGCAAACGATTTGTTGGTTGCACACACAACAATTGCTTGTACGGAGTCACGTTTTTAAATCATGAATCTTTATTGCCAACCGGTTATTAGTTTTTGTAATTGACTTAATTACATATCCCGCTGAAGAGACTTCGACAACTATATTTTTGTAACATGCAAAATAGAACTTACTTGGAGGACATTTAATGTTATTCAGTGCAACAGCTTTGTGGACAGATTCCTGAAATGAAAATATTGATATATTGCTTCATATTATTTTATTCTAAACATGTAATAAAATATGTAGTTTTATAGAAACGTGAAAGATAAATTAGTTACTACTAGCGGCCTGCTTCTGCTTTGCACGGTGCATTCGTTGATTACTGTATAATTGTGTTATACATGTTTTTTGTTAAAATTAACTAGATCACATTGAAATCCGTATAAAAATTTCTGAAGTACTTAAGTGGAAAAACAAAAGTGAACGAAAAGCGACTTTTAATGTGGTTAATTCCTAGTAAATTTGTCACACTGAGCTAAGTGACTTGACTAACTTCATCCTTACCCATCATCCCACACTGGTAAACTCGATCAGCAACAGTATAGACAATGTTATTATTACTTTATTACCCATACAAAATCACAATAGAGAATAAATGAAAACATATACTAGTATAATTTACTAACAGCTTTGTCTGCTATTATGTCCAAGTAAATGGGACACATCAAAATTTGGATTGATCAGCATAAAAGTAACTTATGTTATCCTATGTACAACTCCATGTCATAAACAAATTTTATGACAATTGGTTGTGAAGTAAAGACACCAACAGGTCGCAATCTTATTTTCATATTTATGTAAGAAAAACATGCCATGTGATCCCAATATTAAATAGGACATCTTTCTTTACTATGGGTGTAATAAAAGGCAACTAAGGAAATTTAATGGTTGAGGCATGGGCAACAGCAATCCTCTTAAAATATCTCAAAGGCCTAACTGCAGTTGCCAACCCGCCTGTCAAACATGGCAATTACTGGCAAATCCCCTCATAAGTTCAGCACTGGACAATTAACAACTGATATGGTATGGCTGAAATATTTAGCCAGTTATATTATAGAGTTAGTATACAAATACTTGATAAAATAAATTTTACTCTGTGATCACTACTATATTTACTTTGCTGAAGTGTGCCCATGTCTCCTTTACTGATTCCAATCTTGATAAATTTAGAAATAACTTGTAAGTGCAAATAAAATGTGAGACTGAAATATCTATTTCTGCAGGTATCCACAAGAGATAGGACTATATTTTATTTTCTGATGATTCTCTATATTTTCAATGATCCATCTGATTTTGAATGATAGCCAATTATAGACAAGAATACCTTGTCTGCCAAGCCATTATATTTATCTCAACTAGTGAGAACTTTGATATTGTCTCTAGTGTAAAATTTATATAAAATACATTTTACTAATAGTAGTTAAAATTTATATATGTTAAAGTAAAAAAAGTTAAAAAAAGTCATCACTGTCATAGCTAACAGGTAAACTAATGGCAAGTAATTAGTAGCAGGCATAGAGAAAATAATTATCTGTCTACATCAGTAGTTTCATATATGTAGTCATAGTAAGCCATTAATCCATATAAAGGTAGGAATGGGGTTAATTCTAAGGCACTATATCTCTAAACACAAATCTTAGTCCAATATTTTTATTCGATAATTTCATGATATTACTGTTTTATATACCATTATAAAATAATTAATAATGTTATTTTATGTATATTTCTATAACTAATAACACAACTTTTAAAATATTTGTAGTCTAGTAAGATTTTATATATATATATATATATATAAGACTTTGTACGAAAGTCGATTGTGTGATGTGAAAGTCCTATTCGTGTTTCAACTGTGAAGCAGCTGTGTTTGCATGGCTGTGTTTCGGTTTGTTTGAAGGGTGGGATATGGCATGAATTTATAGGGTACAGAGGAATGACACCCGAGTCCTTAGGAATGGCAATGCATGAGGGGTATCGTGGGCGAAACAGTATACTCTGTTATGTCCACGGTACTGCTCATGTCTATAGGCAACGGTTACCACGTTCTATCAGGAGGACCGTCAGGTTGTTTGCTGTTTCTAAGTTGTATAAAAAAAAAATGTTTACTTTATTTCATACTGTATAATTATGTTAAAGCAAATGCTATGAATACCTTTAAAAGGCGTGTGCATTAATATTGTATTGTATTTAATGTTTGTTATATGTGTTGTAATGTAATATGCTGTTGGTGTTTCTTTAAATAAATAAATGTTTAAAAAATTAGTACATATTGATCCTTATAATAAAGATTTAGTTGTGATGTTAAATTGAAATTTTAGATAGGTTTAGAGAATGGTGTCTCAGAATTAACTATTTAGTTGACAGAATGAATCAGTATGCCCCCCACATTTTTAAGCAATATCTATCAGGTATTGTGTGTACTGCTTAAATATGACTCAAATCTTGTTAAAGGATCAGACCTAACACTCAGTACATGAGGTTCTCCACTGACCATATTTATATGAATAGTTGTGAGATAAATACTAATATTCAAATTGGAATTTTAAATAGTATAATTATGATTTATTATCAGCTTGAAAGTTCGAGATATTAATTAATATACAAATATGAAATGAAAAGTACTCATCACCCTTGTATTGCCTCTAGGAGAGGTCACTTCATAGTACTGACATGTTACAATAAGTACCTGTGTTTTCCCTTCAGTAGATGTAGATATTTTAATTAATTTCACTGTATTAGGTTTCACTTTTATCTGTGCGAGGGCTTCATTACCGGTGCTTTGAACTACCTTAACCATTTGAGGCTGTCCTAAAATTAGTTATAAAGTTATTAATATTAAGTATGAATAAAATTTTGTATTATAAATATGAAGTGACCTACGTTTGATCAATATAGATGGTTAGAGGTAAGAATGCATATTTTATATCATAGGTTATAATTTGAACATAACAAAAAAAGATACCGGGAGAATAATAGCGAAACAATAAAATGTGTAATTTTGCACATATCTCGAACTCATAGGTAATAATTTCCTAAGAGAAAGTATATCGTATTTACAAATATGTTTTGTGTTTATGGCGAATAAAACTAGTCCTACAAAACTTACATCACTACTAACCATTAGCGTCATGTATAAGAAAATTTAACGTATTATTTTTCTGAGACATTTTCTCCATACTTGTAGCATTAAATTATCCATTTACTAAACTCTCTAGTGCAATGAATAGAAGCTTTATTTGTGGCCGAACTAAATAAAATACTCAACTCAAATTGTTGGTCAAAATGGCGACATTTCACTATATTTTGGGCAATGTTTGATGGTTATAAACCGCACTAATAGACACGAATGCTTCATAAAATTCCTCTGCAATCGTCATATATCTTATATTCTATAAATAAAATAAAATCACTTGTAAAAAGCTATCAAATTCATTACTATTAGTGTAAAGTAGTAGCACGCAAAAGAAAAATATCAACGGCGGCGGGATACGACTATAATTTACCAACCCAGCTGATTGGATGACGCGCTTTTCACGTGTTAGGTACCTACTTATCTACGTTTAGAAATTTATTTCCGGCGGTAAAGGCGCGAAATTATAGAATTTAACGAAAAAGTAAATAATTTTTACTCTGTGAGAAATCGACTTTAAACATAGATTAAGGATAGTATCTGCAAATTCAAATGAATTATTACTGTGCAGTTGTATTTTTTTTTAGTGGGTGAAAATGGAATGGTAACCCCGTCTGCGCTATCGGTATATACTGGCAGGGCACCAGTGATAGGTGAGTGGTGAAAATAAAGGCAAGTCAGTTGGTCCACCATGAAGAATTCAACAAAAACTAACTACGATAGTTTCCAGTGGAAACCACGTGGAGGTCGACCTGATAGGGTATAATTTTGGAAATGGGGTTATTAAAATCCATTACTAACAATTCCTGTCCCCCCTAGTTGTATGTATTTGTTCAATATCTTTGACTTAGCTCCCTTGTATTCATAGATGAAGAATGTTTCATTTATGTAGTAATTAAGAATTTATATTGATAGTCATGTTGACAGTGACACTTCTTAGACAATATGTTGTTTTTTTACGCTCAAATTTTTAAAAATTTTTAATTAAAATCTTTAAATCCAATAAATCATAAGGTCCTTCAATATAACTCAAATTGTTTACGGCGAAGCTATTGTTACTTATTATATATTTTTTTGTGTTTATTTCCTAGACATTATAATAATGTGTGAATAAATACTTGAACTTGGAAATAAAAGGTTACTTTTATAAGATGATTATTTTACTATTTTGCATATTTTTCTTTATTTTTAGTACTAATTGCATAACTTCAATTGACTTAAAAGATATAAATTTGCCACCAGAACATATTCCATATTACTTTAATACATTTCCCGAAGTTGCTAAATCTTGTTTAAATGACCCAGAATGTCCATATAAGGGACTAACTAATATTAAAGCTTGTTGGGGTTATGAACGTTTATGTAATGAGTCTAGTTCATATCATGTCAGACCTCGGTGTCCTGGTGATCATCGTGGATGGGTTAAATCAAAAGAAGCACAATTTGCTACATTTTATACACAAGCTGATTTTGGTGAGAATATTTTCATATTAGTACATACAATAGATAGCTGTTACTGGTATTGAATTGAACGTATATTTTTCAGTACGTCATATATATACTGAAAAATATACATCCATTTCAATTTTGGTATTTATGATATTATGAAAGTAGTAACAAAGTAATAAGCTCTTATCTTTTATTTTAATTGTATATTCTTAGGTGTATATTAATACTGATATTACATTACATTATCTTTTGTTAAGTTAGTGTTACTCATATGTGACAATTAATCCATAAAATCTAATATAGTTGGCATGCTGTTTGCTATTTATTGAATTAATTAATAATTATTGTCATTTACAGTTTCATTTCAATCAGTATCTATTATGTATTTAAAATAATCTGAATAGCATCTTTACAAATATTATAAATGTAAAAATATGTTTGTTTATTATCTTTTGGTGCTTTAACAGCCTAATCAATAATCACAAAATTTGATATACATGTAGTGTAAAAATGGGTATAGGCTATTTATTAGCTGCTGTTTTAATGGACAGAATCACAAGTAAAGCTGGTCTTTGTGCTAGCACTAGTATAATTTTAACTTTAATAATCTGAAGCATATTGATGGATGTGGAGTTATGCAGAAGACCAATTATATTATTTTTTAAATTTAAATATTATGTACAATGTTACAGAGAACATTGTAGTGACAAGACTGAAGTATTTATTATTCTAATTAATTAAGCAGTAGGTCATGCTATGTCCATGTACAACCTCTTTCTTACGCATATGATAGTAATTTAATTATTGATTTTCTACTTCAATGATTCTCAACCACTGTGCTGCGGCACTTTTGTGTGCCGCCAAATATTAAAAGTGTGCTGCCAAATTTTGCAAATATTTAAAATTTTTGTCATAAACTATTTATGCAGTGTGTTGTAGTAAGTAAATAATTTTTATCTTTTTCTTTGTGTGCTGCCAAATTTTGAAATCGTTAAATATGTGTCGCAACAACAAAAAGGTTGAGAATCACTGTTCTACTTTAACAAAATGCAGGTATAAGGTGGATACAGAGTATGTGAAAAATAAAATATACATGAACTGACAATAATGAATATAATATAAGTATCAGTTTGATATAAAATTATAATAGTATTTGTCTTTTTTTGTGACTTTATCTATTTGAAAAGAAGAAATTTTGTTAAATTGATTTAATCTAATAAAAGGTTAAAATATTTAATGAAAATTGTTAAAATATTTAACAATTTTATCAACACTAGTACCTGGACAAGATATTTACAAGATTGATATAGCTTAAATATTATTATTTCAATAAAAAAAGACAACAGATATTTATATTAAATAAAAAAAAAAAAATCATTTTCAGGTTTTGTCAAAGACCAAATAAATGAGCTAATGGTAATGTGTGAAGCTTTCTATCCTGATGACACATCTTTAGAATGTTCTAAGTATTTAAGGTAGGTACTATTGATATTAAATAATGTGTTTGCTTAAACTAATAAATATAAGTAGTTTATATTTTGTAGTAAAGTATAACAATAATCCAGTTACATTTAATACTTGTGGATTTAATAATAATAAATGCACTAGCTGCCTGCTTCTGTTCAAGAATAGAATCAGGATTTGTAATCAACAAACACCATGAGACTGTGCATTTTACTAAGTTGAATGAGTTTTATGTGAGTCATAGTATATTCTAAAATGATTTGTTAAAAGCAAATAAATTTGTGACAATCCTCTTTATATCTATATGTTTATCTTATGCAGTTAAATAACTGAGAATATATGTACACACTTTCTCTGTCCCTCACTCACCCAATTTGATGAATTCATCATATTCAATCATATGACGTTTTTAAATAAATTTTGTTAATGTAAATATAACTGACAAATGGATTTTATTCATTTATGCATGGCCTACAGAGTTTGTAAATGTCTGCAAATAAAAACTACAATCTTAAAAAATTGGGTATCATAGCTTTTTTATACATTTTGATGATTTATACATTTGATGATTGAAATGTATATACTTCATATGTTGATTATAGGAGGATTCATGATAATACCAGAGTAGTATTGTGGAATGTTAATTGTCAGATTTTTAATAAATAACAGAAACTAAGCTTGATGGCATCTTGTTTTTTCAGATTCTGCCGTGGTAGAAATATGATGTTAAACTTTACGGGGCTTGTTGGTCGTGGTAATAACTTAAGATACAAAATGGATATTCTTGGGCCAGGACAAATAGGTATATATAATACATACTAATGATTTAGTTAATTTTTGTGACCTTATTGTACAGTTTGAAATATAAATCTTTACTATCATTTTAAGGGAGTACTCTACCAGGGAAATTAAATTATTTGCTCATAGAAACAAGGATTAAAAAATATGGCAAAAATTAGTTTCTCATAGTACATAGTTACTTAGTGTATTGAGCTTTCAATAATATAATATCATTAGAACTTGAAATAAGAATAATCAACAAACACATTATGGCTATTTTAGAGAGTATTTTTTTATATTACAATTACCTTTATATATTATAATATATATATATTATAGTATATTATAATTACCTTTTTCTTCATTCATGCAGTATGTCTTCTTCTTTAACATATCCTTGTCAACTTTCAATCCCGGGTTCACTCCTCTTTTATGTATATCATCTTTTACATACTACATCCATCTTTTCTTCGGTTATTCCCTTTCTTTACATCCATTCACTTTCATACTTAACATTTTCATTAAAACATGGCTTTCATTTTTGCACAAGACAAATATACCATGAAATTCTATTAATTTGCAACCTCTTTTTACTGGTGCAACTTTTATCTGTATATACTTATTTCTTATTTTGATATTCTTTATCACTTCACATATCCATCTCAACATTCGTTTCTCTGTCATGTGTCTTTAATCCATCATCTTTATGGGCCAACATTCAGATCCATACAGGATATGTCTTATAATAGATTCGTAAACATTACCATTCAATTTTAGCGGCATTTTGGGGTCTCATACTGTTCCCAAGACCTTTCGCCATTTTAACCTTCCAGCGCTAATATTGTACTTAACTTCACGATCTATATCCACGTTGTTCTGTATAATTGAACCGAAGTACCTAAAATCTTAATTACTAAAAATTTTAATTATAGTCTTAAAATTCACATTATTATTATCTAATTCAGGATTAAAAGAATTATATCCATATAATATTAAATATGACATAGTCCTCATAATACTCACCCATTATCTGTGCATTTTAAAGTTGTATGCTTATATTGATATGACGACTATTGATTTGAGGCATTAATATTTTAGATTCAACAGCTTCGTAAATGAATATTGCAGGTGGACATTGTAAGTTTTACTCAGAGAGGTTGTTGAAAGAAGCTGAACATATGAGTGCGTTACAATCATGGGCGCCTGAAATGATACATTTTGTGAGAACATCTAAAAAGCCTATTACTGATGCTATGTGTGACGTTACCATTGAAAAACCGACATACATAATGAAATTAGATGCAAGTATGTATAATTTAAAGCTCTAGATAATATTACTTTTAATATAAACTACAGTTTATAGACAAGAAAATGTAATGATCATAATCAGGAAATATTAGAATCAAATTATTATTCATTATTTCAATAACAAATGAAAATATACGTACTAATGGTTATATGCATAACATTTGGTATATTATTTTATTTCAAGAGCATTTTCACTTCTCCTATCAGATTTATCTGAGAGAGAACTTGTGTTTATATGTTTTGTTACTTAATTACTACATTTAATTCTTTAATAAAATAATAAATGAGTAATAAAATAGACACAGAGTATAGAAGAGAAGTTTACAATATTTTCAATCGACTTTAAAAACAAGTTTTTTAATTAAGTTGGATTTTTTTTTATATTTGTTATTTCAGCAGTTCCTCCTTCATTAATTATAAACCGATTCAGAAAATTATTTTTACTTGGAAAGAGATACTTTCAGATTGGTCCCATAGAAATTTTATCAAAATCGATTCAGTAATTTGATTTTTATTTCAAAAGTGTTTTTGCCGCAATTGAACTGAGTGTTTTTTCATGGAATAAAGTATATTTATAAAATAATTTGTCCATGATGATGACTTCTTGCAGTCAATAAAAAAAAATGTCTGGTTTTGAAAGTAAAAATGTATTTAAAAAATTCCGAAGCAAAGTATGAAGTAGATGAAGGGTAGTAGTTGTACAGATTGAGATGTATATTTGGATTTTGTGATGATATGTATCTTGTCAATCTAAGTTGGCTTGAGCTCGATATCATTACATTTAGTGCAATATTCTTTGTAATACTAAGTTACAAATTATATGTAATATTTTTTTTATGAGTAAATAATTTTTAATTTCAGCTGTAAACATGTATCATCACTTTTGTGATTTCTTCAATTTGTATGCATCACTACATGTTAACTCCACACATCACTCAACATTTTCAAAGGATAATCATATTTTGATTTGGGAAACTTTTACTTATGACTCTGCATTTAAGGATGCTTTCAAGGCTTTTACAAATAATCCAATATGGGATTTGAAAATGTTCAGAGGTCAAGTAGTATGTTTTAAAAACGTTTTATTTCCTTTATTGCCACGGATGATTTTTGGCCTTTACTACAATACACCTTTGGTAAGTTATTAATGAAGAGAATTTAAATTATTTTCTGTTACAAATGTCAATCAATACCAATCAAAATTTATGTGATTCTATTATAAAGTTTGGCCGTGTGTCTTCCTTTCTCGTGGGTGTCGTAAGAGGCGACTAAGGGAGGGCGAGGGATGGGCATCAGTGTCCTTCTTAAAACATTTTCAAGGCAAACGGCAGGTAGGTTGCCAATCCGCCTGCCAAGCGTGGCAACTACTGCCAAACCTCCCCCAAGGAGGAGGCTTATGTTCAGCAGTGGACAGTAAATGGCTGATATGATGATGATTGTAAAGTTTCATAAACATAATTTGTGGGAACAAATTTATAATTTATTCACCTAAATATTTTTAAGTTGTAAAGTGACTGTGATTTTTTTATACAATACACTTTCAAATGACAAACAAGCTAATAGGTCACCAATTAAAAAGTGGTAACAGTCGCCAAATAAATATAAATAGCACCATAGACATCACAAAATGTGAGGGTGTGAGGCCTTTGTACCCTTCCCCTTTTATTGTCATTCCTGAGGAGTAATATGTTATGTCTGTATATCCTGTAAGTTCAGTGTCATTTCCTATCCATCAAATCAAAACACAGCCATGCAAACAGAGCTGCTTGACATCAGTAGCACAAAGGTGTCGAAGCAGACAACTTTTGTACAGTCTTTTGGTTTTGGTAGGTATTTAAAATCAGTTGTGCCAATTTATTGTTTATTAAAAAACCATATTTATAGGTATGTTTTATGTATTGTTTGTGATATATTTGATCATATTTTAGATATATGGCTGTGAAAGAAGCGGGTTATTTCATGCATTTTCCAAACATATATTGCATTCATTGAATATAAAACTACATATCCGAAGCAATGACAAAATAAGGGTAACGTTACTCTCCAGAGGCACGACTTACAGATCTATATTAAACGAGAAAGAACTTGTGAAAGCCTTGGTTAAAGTGAAAGATTATCACGTACAGCGAGTTGTGTATGATAAAACAATACCTTTTGCTAAACAGCTGGAGATAACGCATAACACTGATGTGTTTATTGGTATACATGGTGCTGGATTAACTCACTTGATGTTTTTACCAGACTGGGCAGCAATTTTTGAATTGTACGTACACATATTGTAATTGTTGCCTTAATTTTATGACATAAAATATCGACTGCTGTCCTCTCTATTCTCAAAGATAGTCAGAGGCATTTTGTTGTTAATATAAGCGTTGTGGTGAACGTAGCACTACTCGCTCACGTTTTTTTGAACATAAGAGATGAATTATCATCAACTGTAATTTTTAAGTTTATTCTTTTTTCTCACATAAGTAGCTCGATTGGACCATTTGTTTAGTGTTTGATTACGAAAGCAAAAGAGGACGCTTTTTGTATTACTGTCAATTTTTAATTACCTGTCAATGGCAATTAATTTATAATTTTAATGTTGATTTCAACATTTACTGGATGGCAAATAAAAAAAAACACGGTGGTAGATTATAATAAACCTTTAATAATAGATAAAGTGATTTTAATTTTTTTAAATATATCTAAATGATAAATGCTATATATACGTCGATACAACAGTGTTTAAATAACATAAAATCTTTACAAGAGTTAATGACCGAATGCTTCATAATTGATTTATGATAAAATTTTGCAGATATAACTGTGAAGATCCGAACTGTTACATGGACCTTGCTCGACTCCGAGGACTTAAGTATGTCACCTGGGAAAATAAAGATAAACTTGTACAACAGGATCAGGTTTGTATTTGATATTTATTAAATTATGGAAAAATTTAAAAACAAATATGAATTCACAGCGTTGTTAGTTTTTATTAGCAATAAAATTTAAAAAAGAATAAAACAAGTCTTTGGTGTTGAATCAACGTTGTCATTTCATTTGAATATTGTTATTAATATATAAGTTAATTAAATATACTTTTTTTATTACGTACGTACTTTATCATCTGTGTGCATGCAGATAGTATAAAGAAAAATAACATATGGATTCACGGTTTTTATTGTAAAAGATTTGTACCCACAATTTTTTTTTATTGGAAATCTAATTAATAATTATAACTGATACTTTGTCATACTTAAGTAATTTTTGTACAATCCATAAGTTATGTGTTATTTTTTTTCTGTCAAACGTATGATGTTATAACGCATGGAGTACAAGGACTTAGTCACTGATTAGTTAGACATTAATAATGTTTTTAATAAACATTAGTAATAGTAGAACTTAGAATGTTGTATTAAGTAAAAAAAAAGTTTTTATTTGCTAACATATTGATTAAAAATTGTTATAGGGCCACGGTCCCGGAGGGGGGTCGCACGCCAAGTTCACCAATTATTCGTTCGATGTTGACGAGTTTCTGAGACTCGTTGCTAAATGTGCGGACCACGTGCGCAGTCGGCAGGATTTCAAAAATTTTGTCGAAGCTTCTATGTTGAAAACTCATGATGAACTGTAAAAAGTACTTTTAGAAAAAAGATATCGAAATATTTTAGTGATCGGATTGACAAGCACTCATGACAATTTTTTTTCTTTGTTTTGGGTGATGTTTAGTATTTCATTAGTAATCTTTATGTAATACAAAACAATAGGCAATGTGTTTGTAAGACTATAAATGCCTCAATCATTAATATTCGTATAATTAATTCATTATATGGACCGTTTATTTTGAAAGTCCATTTTCTTTTGTTTTGAGAAAATTAAAGGTTACTATATTTGTTGATTTAAAAATACAGGCAAATCATATGAGGTCTGGCATTGTTTCTATTGTTTTATCAACATTTAATTTGTTTATATAAATTTGTTTTTGGCTAATTAGACTATGATAACACATTTATGTGCTGTTAATGGACTTACACCACTTTCAAAATTAGACAATTGTAAAAATCGTTTAATTTTAATTTTGAAAAATCAAATATCGCTTAAAATATACTTCATTTTAATATAATTTTGTTTACAAATACGCATAACAACACATAAAATTTTATTTTAGACGGCAATTACATTGTCATTACAAGATACGGATTACAAGAATTTACTTATTTTCTGCATGTGGTAGTGTTTCAAAATATGCATGATGCACCGGAGGTATATAGGATAGTAGCTGTTTCATGTCTTTATATTTTTCGTACGTAATAGGTCTGGCATTTTGGTACAAAGGCTCCAAGGCGATTTTTTCAAATTTTAACGGTCTTCCAGGACGTAGAGGTAATAAATTGATAATTTTAAATTCTGCGTCCGTCATCGTTGTTTTATAAAAAATGGTATATGGTGCAATTTTGAGGAACCTCAACCAACATATTTGCAACCAATTGACCTGTTCCCCATTAGTATTTTTTTTATCTGTTTTTTAATTGCATTATATTAATGTATTGCATTGCATTAATATTTATTTTCTTCTCACAGGTTATGCGCTGTATATTTTCTAATATCTATCTTTTAACTTACGAGTAGTGGAAACACGGAGGGGAAACAATGCAAATCGTCCGCGGGTGAAACCGCGGGACACAGCTAGTATAAAATAAATGAAATATAACAAAACACTGATCGGCATCCATCTGCTACGCCACCTACCTCTGTCAATGTAAGTCCATTACATCACTTTCATAATCGATGAATATTTTCATTTTCGTTTACCGACCGATTTTAAGTTGTACAAAACATGGTATTTTTTTGAGAAATTAAACACGGACTAGTTATATATAAAAAAGTTCATTAAATTAAGCATGAATTACGTGATAGCTCATTTTTCTCAAAAATGGACTTACACCACTTTCAAAATAAACGGTCCATATGTAAATCATGCAGTATCACTGCATATTTTTAACTATCAATTTAATAATATCACAATTTTGTGTTATCAGTAAATTATGAGACCGCAAAATAAAAAAATCCACAAAGAATCTCAGTTTTTGTTGATGAAATTTTTTCGGCCTGGAATTCACTTTTGTAATTTTCTTTTAATACCGCGAAATTCACATCCGCGCGACTTTGCGAATCTCGCTCTTGTGGAATTGAAAATTATCGCGTAATGGCGGTAACGGTATAATGGTATTATTGCATGCTCTAAGCAAGTGAAGCATTATTGCACAAAATGTAAAGTTAAAATTAAATTACCTTTTATTTTACTCAACTAGGTGTTATCTTGCGGAAGTTCAAATCACTGGTTATTTTACTAGAACTATTTTGTTTAATTCTGATATCATTATTACGTGTGCAATATGGAAGGTTGTAGAACTTCTGGTAGTAATAATGGGTGTCAATCTTCGAGGAGTATTGGCGATCACACACATATTTACGGTAGCGGAATTAAACAAAATAATTCTAATCAAATAACCAGAAAATTACTTTTATTTCTATAACGAGTCTTCCTTTGTATATTTTTGTATAATAAGAGTGTATTTCGATACTTGTCGCTTGATTGGAATATACATAATATTAATATGCATGGTGGTAGGTAAATTTGGAAACCTGGTATTTAAAATATGAATTATTTTTACACGCTTTATAATTTGGGGATACATTTAAGTACAATATAATCATTTATTACGTAAATTAAAATCTTACAAATAAATGCGATTTTATTATAAGTCTTATATATGTATTACCGTATATACATATTTACTTACTATACTTATAAAATGGATTTAATTTTATAGTTCTGATTAGTGACTAAAGGAAAATAACGAATTCGATGGTCATACACAAGTATAAAGAAAAGTATTCTTTTAATTCAGACTGTATAATTATAGGTTATTCATACAGGGTCAGGGTCAAACATTGTAGGTCTATATTAAACTGGAAATGTCATATATCAGTATACTCGGATTTGAATTTTTAATTTTTCTAAGGAATAAAACATGTATGAATAATTATAATCATGATTATAATACCTGTTACGTAATAAATTAGATAGCAACATATTCATTAATGCTTTTATATATGTATCAGTATAATATTTACATGTTTGGGGGGAAAGGGATTGTTAGTTATGGAGACTGAGAATCCCATTGGTAAAAAAACACTTAACCAGGTCTACCTCCTCGCGGTTCCCCCTGGAAACTATCATGGTTAATTCCTGATGAATTCATTATGATGGGCTAACTGGCCTGTTTTCATTCTTATCTATCACCCTTCACTGGTGCTCCGCCAGCGTATCCCATTAGCGCAGGCGGCGCTACCATACCATTTTCACCCATAAAAAAAAAAATATTTACATGTAGTAAGTGGTATATTTATTTTTAAATTCCTTATGCGCTTAACTACAGTGCTTATTAAAATTAATATTGATTAGTAATTAAATGAATGTGATGTGATATTGTAGATCTTAAAAATAGAAATGCTAAAGGGTACATAGAATATCCACAAAGTGCTGCTTAATTAGGCCGTCCATAGCGTCTTATTTTGTTATTAATCGTCATTTTATTCAGTAAGAAGTACTTATATTGTTAAGTAAAAAATATTGAGGTATCATACGTGCACAAAGTAGAAACACGCTCAATAGGTATAAGTTGTATAAATAGATCACTTTAATGATAAATTTGTTGGTGCTTTGCTTGCGTGTAGTGTTCGTATTAACACGATTTCGTGCAATTTGATATTCGATTCGACGATAATTGTCTATATAGACGCATAATGGGAACTTTGCAAACTTTTGTGTGTTGCCGTATTCTACAATTGTTTCCAATTGTTTCAAATGCATCCGGAAGTCTCTTTCAGGAGGTGTACGGCACTTAGCTCGCTGTGCCCGTAAGGACGTCGGTGCGGGCGGAGTTAACGCTGTTAAAAGATAATTGGAGATGATTACGACAGCACTATTATCTCTCACTCATGTGGCTTTATCTAGAATAGTTGTAGTTGTTGTGAAAGATTGTTAATTTCGTTGCTGCTGTCTTTCTGAGCTGTCCGACGCAGTTTGGCAGGGGGGAAAGGGATTGTTAGTAATGGGGGTCTAATAGGCCCATTACTAGCAATATACTCTCTCAGGTCGACCTCTACGCGGTTCCCCCTGGAAACCATCATGTTTAATTCTTGTCGAATTCATCATGTCGTGCCTCGTCGGTGTATACCGATAGAGCGGGCGGGGTTATCAATCCATTTTCACCCATTAAAAAAAATAGTTTGGCACGCGAAGCTTGTGTCTTTTTTTAATTCGTGTAGCGATCTCCAACATCCATGTAGACATGTTTTCCAGGCGAGCTACAAAGTTCACCCCCTTGTCTTCATTGAAATTAGGCTGACGACTAATTTCTATTTCTTCACGAATCTTGCGAAGAATAAACGGCTTCTTTCTTATTAAGACTCGGGCTTTGTCTAAACGTATTAAAACGTACGTAAAATTCCTATTTGCGCATGTATATAGACATCGTTAAAAAATTAACATATATTTTAAAAATAATATGACGAATATTGATTTGCATTCGAATCTTGTAGGTATTGTTAGGATATAAAAATTAGAAAATGTTACTTATACCTATTTTTTACTGCGTAGAACAGGTACTTAGGCAGGCGCCTTTTGTACAAGTCTGTCTCATACTATTATGACTATTAGATAGTTACTAGATTACTAAATATGCAATCACCAATATTCATATCAATTATTGTTACATTTTATTCTTCATCTGAGCAAATGTTTGCGTCTCCTACATACATTGTACTAAGTACTACCGACCGACTATTCTTAGTTTACTAATCTAAGTGCGTTCGGTTTGCAGTGTTAAAAAAAATGATAAATTTTGAATGCTTTTGGTTAGCTTTTTTTTTCATTTTAAATATAGGTTGTAAATGATGTTGATTGTGTTTAGATTTCATACATTCCTTTAATATCCTTTGTCATTTTAAATAATATTAAAATAGGTTGTTATATCTTGTATTATATTTAGGTATTAAATAGAATGTTTCATTTGAGTTCTTCATTAATTGCAATTTTAAGAGATAGATAAAAAAGAATAATAAAAATACATATAGAATAAACTTGATAATTTTTTTGTATTGTGTTGCATCATCACACCTATGTTTATTTAATTTTTAGAATTTTATAAGATGTAAATATACGTTTTCTACTTTTTTAATATAGCTTTTATATTTAATGTAGGTATATATACAAAGAAGTATAGACATCATATCGAATATACAATGTATATTCTTAACAATGTATAATTGTTTAAGAGTGCGATAAATGTTCTTGATGCAATCTGGTTTATTTATTATTTTCCGAATGCACCGCTAGTTTAATTGTAACAGCGCCGACGTACATAAGTTCCATAATTACAGTTCGCGATGTTCAGATAAATTGTTCATAAGATCGGACGGGAGGTTCACATTCGGATGAATTATTGACATATACTGTTACAGTTAATTCGGCGAATCTCAGTAATTTTGCACAGTAACAATAATAACAACTTGCATTTTAATACTTGCTTTATTAATGTTTATACTAACTCGATCGACAGCACGAGTGGGGTAGGCATAGCTCTGTATACATTATACGAGTTTTGTTACATATAACCTATTCTCAATAGTAGTAAAGCATTACATGTATTTTCGTTACTTCTAAGGCCAGTACTCAAACAAATATACCCCAGAGACGAGGTTGGCAGTTGTATTGTGTACCCGGAGAGGATTGTGTACTAATTATCTATAAATACAAAGTTTCAAATAAATTAATAAAACTCTATTAAAATAATTCTATGAAACAAGAGCAGAAACGAGAATACAATTTAAAAAATAGTTAGTCTGTGTATGATTGCAATTATTATGATATCACTAGCTTACTAGTCGCATGCAAAATGGTATACATGTATGCATATAATGGCAAACAAGCTGACGGCCCACGTGATGAAAAGTGGCAACCGTCGCCTATAGACATAAACAGTACCATGGACATTATACTGTTTCGCCCATGAAACCCTCCATGTTGCCATTCCATAGAACGAAGGTGTTATTCCTTTGTACCCTATAAATTCACTGGCATATCTCACTTTTCAAACCGAATATGGATGTAGGTGGCTCAAAACCGTTCTTTATGGCAGTCTATGGGGGAGGCTTATGTCCAGCAGTAGACGAATAATGGTTGAAATGATTCGTTTAAATTAAAAAAAAAAAAGTAATTATTGTGATTTTTTAAGTAATACTAAAATAATAAAATTAAAATATTAATAACATATAATTTTATATGTACATTAGATGTGCGATGTCTTTGCTAATTCTGAATCGATGTTAATAATTGTTTTTGCAATCGAGTTTAGATACTATTGTGTCGATGCCATCTAAATTCTATTAAGATTGAAGTAGCAGTTTTTTATTTTTATTTTTATGAGTATAAAGTAATGCTGAAATAACACTATAAAAACGTACGATGTAATTTAAAGAACATCTTGAAGGGCCGGGTGGACGGTATCAAACCCAAAATGGTGTGGTACCCATCGCAGGATGAGAACGAAACTCTGAGAGTAGTTAGACGTGACTTTGTTCAGGTGAACAATAAAATATATCAATAATTCATATGAATATATGCGCCTATAGGCTAAGTGACATTGGAAATTAATCTTAAATATGCAAATGGTTGTAAGTATATTCCATGGTTTAAGGATTAGGAATGATATTTTTTTATTAGGCATATACTCATATACCTTTAGGGAAGGTAACGAGAGAAAGTGCAAAGTGTCTCTACATGCACTTATACCTTTAATTATTAAAATAAAGGAAGCGAAACGCACTAAGTCTTATATTTTATATGTACTCGTTTCCACTGAACCCTAAAATGAAAAGAGGTTGGAAGATGGTAGAGGCGGTAAATCGTAAAACAATCACATAATATGCAAGCAATATTTACAGAGGGGAATTAATGACCGAAGCTGCTTGCCCTCGGGGTCGATGCTCATAACTTTTTTGGATAACCAGATTGTATCGAGAAATAACATCAAACAACTAATTGAAATCACTTGGACTGTTTAATTTTTTAAGTTATTAAATTAATTCATTAACATTTTGTTAGCATAATATTAATTAAATTTTAAAATCTTTTGCGTAAAAATGATGTGATATTTTACTTATTTTTGGTTGAAAGAAAGAAATTATTCATAGATTCATGCGGCTCACACAATAGCAATAATAATAATAATAATTGTAGTGTGTACTCGTGTCCGTGTGTGTAGCATTGTTTTGTGAAATAGATTCGTGCACTTTGAGGTGCTACAGTGCTCTTTTCAGCCCAAACCATGGTGTCCCAGTTAAAGAGAGTTATATAAGTAGTGTGTTGATATTCTGCGTGATGACATCATAAAAATATGTTTTGTTGTTTATTTTAATATAACTTTTTTGTAATCAATTGGTTTTAAACATAACTTAATGACTTCAATAATTAGGTGTTATACCGTTTAGGTTATATAGGTACATTCACCCATTATCATAGCTATTGTAAAGATATAACGCAGTAGAATGTACCCTAAATTGATTAATTAATATTAACTGGTTCCATTAAAAGATTTAAATTGAAATATTTATTGGTTTTATTTACGGAATTAGAATCTAAGTACATAAATGTATTTCTTTATTATATACTTACTAAGAAACGTAAAAGCTTTCTAAGTTTAGTGCACATAGGCTGCACTGCTAGTAGTGAATAAAATTATTAATATAATATAATTAATACATCCAATAGTTGCGTAAAAAGATAGCTAGGTACCTAGATGTATATAAGAATATCAATTTCATATGATGGTTGGCAGCCATAAGTGCCCCTTTTTAACACTTGCGACACAACAGTCATCACTAGCACGTAGCCGACTTTGACTATACGCACATCTTGTTATAGCACCATAGATAAAATTGAGTGTGTATTGTATTTTTCTACGACAGTAGTAATTTCACTGACATATTTTACTATTCAAACTAGAGCATAGCATATAATTAAGCAACGTGCTCGCAGAATGTATATAGAAAAAAAATTGCAATATGTAGACATTACTTCATCAATTTTTTTATTTAAAATAAAAGCGCAGTCATCATATCAGAAATAAACTGTCCATTGCTGAACATTGGCCCTAAGAGGGATTTTGCCAATAGTAGCCACGCTCAACAGGCAAGTTGGCAACCGCAGTTAGGCTATTACAGATGTTTTAAGAGGGACGCTGCTACCCATCTCTCTACCATTAAGTTTTCTTATGATATTCACGGTAATTCTAGTGGAATTCGTCACGATGGGCTAACAGACCTGCTTTCATCCTTACCTATCATCTCTTACTGGTGCACCGCCAGCGTATAGCGATTGCGCAGGCAGGGTTATCATTTCATTATTACCCATAAAAAAAAACAGTATTTACTTTTTTTTCTTCAACTTAGAATGGCAAACAAGCTGACGGCCCACCTGATGGAAAGTGGTAACCGTCGCCTATAGACATGAGCAGTACCATGGACATAATAAAGTATACTTTTTCGCCCATGATATCCCCCACGCGTTGCCATTCCTGAGGACTCAGGTGTTATTCCTCCATACCCAGTAAATTCACGCCATATCCCACCCTTCAAACCGAAACACAGCCATGCAAACACAACTGCTTTACGGTTGAAACTTATGCAGATAAATGTACATTGTCACTCTCTAGTAATAAAGGGATTATAGCGATAAATGGAACTACGTATGTACATAAAATACCTTTGAAATTTTTTAGGATTGTAGAGGTTTTTATTATTGCATATACTAATATAATGTAGGTACATGTAAAAAAAACTTGTAGATACAATTGATCTCTACACTCATTGGAACTTGACCTTCAAGATAGGTATAATAAAAACGCGTAGTAATGATAAATAAAGATATTGATTTTTACGAAGACTAAAGTGACATCTAATGAAGTATTACTAATTGCTAGTGAGTCAATCATATCGTTTGCTTGTTTATATTACCGGCACGATTGCAAGAATACTAAATGGATTTGTACGATTAAATAGTGAACTTAGAGGATTATAATGCATGGCTATGGGGTACATGTAGGCAGCAATAGGCAGGCATGGCCACACGGCCTGTGGCGAACGGCGCGGCGACTATGCGACTGCGCGCGGCCGGTGGTCGACGATGCGACGACGCCGCTGATTCATGTTGCTGATAGCGATCGCAGGCGCCGGCGCCCACCACTATTTCTATATTTATCACTATTCGCCTACTGTATTGCAATTTTGAATCAAGACATCTATAATTCGAGTCAAGGTAGGGCATTACATTTGCTGCAGTTAACAAAAAAAACATTGGTATGGGTAATACAGTAACGTAGATAAAGTTTTGTAATACTTGTAAGTTGGATTTACATATTATTTTTAACGTTATAATTTTATTTATGTTTGATAATGGAATGGTAACTCCGTCGTGCTATCTGTATACGCTGGCGTGGTTACCAATGAATTGTAATATAATGGATAACGATGATGTCAGTTCAGTTGGACCATATCAATTGTGACTGATGAATTATACTAAATATTAAATACGATAGTTTCCAAGGAATATTGCGCGGAGATAGACTCGTCCTGATAAGGGTGTATTATCCACTATGGGTCACAAGTACCAATTACTAACAATAAGAATAGCTAGGATTCTGAAGCAGCTTGATAATGCTCGAATAATGCGACGGTCTCTCTCTAGAGCCCTGAATTCCGACTGACTGCTTTTGCTGGGGGATAGTTCATATCTCTCTCATCTGTTTATAAGTTACTCTTTTATATTAAAACTACAGAACAGGTTTAAATGAAAGGTAGACGAATAGCTTATATCCTAATTTTGCATATACGATACTTTATATACATATTATTGATAGTAAGTACCCAAAGAAGTAAATTTCTACTCATGGATACAAAAGTTTGTTTTTTAACGCGCAATCATTGGAAGATGAGGTTGGTATATTAACCATTACACCATCAACGTCCTTATTTTATAAAAAAAAAAAAACTAATTTTGTACTGTTGGTAGGTAACCTATCATACTGCAGTTAAAACAAATAATACGTGTTGCCCATGGTTGATAAATTGATACAACCACGCATCTATTACTCAATCGATTGTAGCGTGTTTACTGTGTCAAGTGGATTAACGGCACCTGAGAATGTCAGTTGAGCCTGTAAAAGAAGAATTAATCTTCAGTCTACGAGCGTTCATTTGTATAATGGCACCGCGAATTAAGGCAACAAGCTTAAATTAACAATAGTAACAAACAAACAGAAGGTAACAGAACGAAGACAAACATTCGTGGCTCTTTCAAAAGCGTACAATAGTCATCATCAATTACAGGCAATAGATCGCCCAACATCATTTGTCCGTCCGTCCGTTACTCGACTGGGGCATTCCCACGGCTCGGGACGATCGTGTTTGTTGTCGGAATATGTCCAACGAGAAATAGTAATAGAAAATTGTTTCTGATTGCTTCGCTCTCTACTTTAGTCGCCTCCCTGAGATCCGCGTTCTCGTTTTTATTGCTTATAACATCATCATTGTAATGCAGGTTATTTATCAGCGATTGTAAATATTATGTCACTTCACTTATCGATGATTTTAATCAGTTAGAGATTATGTCATAAATTAACTAAACTGTAGCTATAACTAGCAATATTGCACTTATATTCCAAGTAATTTTAAAGAAATATTATTAATTCAGCTCTCATTTATAAAAAATACATATGGGTTTATAGGTAGGAGCTTACGTATGTACCTACTTGTATAGCAGATTTACGGATTTAATTCCAGGTTTGTAATTATGCACAACGATTCAAACCGTTGTTATCCCGATGTTATCATGAATAAGGCTGAAGAGAAATTGCTCAGATCAAAAGATAATCTCGCCGGAACCAAAATTGATCATTGATAGGAGGCGCGCGCATCTTGCACTCCTACCGCCTGCTACGACTGCCACCAACCCACGCCGTTTGCAAAAATTGGAATTTCTTTTTAATTTTAATAACTTTATATTTGAAAATTGACAATTTATTTTAATATCACCATTTCATGTAGTGTATGAAATGAATAATGCTGGCACATAATTTAACTGCAAGTGACAGGTTCTGATTGACCCGATCAGGGAGGTTTGGACATACACAGCAGATAGATACATATATACACATGTATGTATCTATCTTCTTAGATATATATATTTTACATGTATCTATAACTTTATTGTCACAAGTTCAAATGTCAAATGCTTCAATAGGTGATTGTTCAGTTGCCTATAAATAATATGTGAGGGTTCAAAGCACTAGCGCATTACCTACACATTATTAGCACTAGATTTAGGTCACTTCACAGTACAGCCTCATTCGATCTCTCGGTCAATAAATATCAGATTAAAGTGCCGCTATTGTAGCCTTCACGCACAAACTAGTACCGTGGCTTTCAATAACGGTTCGCACTATGCAGATTATCATTGGGGCGATAACCACGACGTGAAAGCGATAGCGGTGACACGATGCAATGGAGCGGGTGGCGGGCGCTGTCCCGTCGGGCGGCCACAAGTGTCTCACGCGTGATGACGACGGGCGATGTGATGCAGACGCCGGCGCACCCGACGCCAGGAGAGCAGCGTGACAAGTCCTATGGTGCCCGAATCGCTTGATGGCACGATCACGTTTAATAACTCACAATTTACCCTGTCTCCTATATCTATGCACGCTTCGTTGCCGTCTCTGTTCATTTTAATTAACGCGACACTTTACCTAATAGTTAGTGTAGAACTCAGAACTGTTGTTTGTGGAAATACACGGGAGAGGTCTACATTCAGTAGTGGGCAATTAGTAACTAAAAATATTATGATGATGACTATTCTATCTTAAACTGCAAACCAGAATCGATAATTAGCTATATACTCGTATAAATATTTTCAAGAGTGGGTACTAATACAAAGTAACGTTGTTGGATTATGACTAGTTAGCTGTAAGCATGTAATAGATATGTGTGATTAAATCCGTGAAAATATTTATTTAAGCATAATTAACTTTTATTATTTTATTTATTTATTCTTTATTGCACAATAAAATTTTGTACAAGTGGCGAGCTTAATGCCATATGGCATTCTCTACCAGCTAATCATTAGCTATAGGGGGGAAAAGGATTGTTAGCAATGGAGTTTGACAGCCCCATTGCTAGCAATATACCTTATTAGGTCGACTTCCATGTGGTTCCCCCTGGAAACCATCGTGAATAATTCTTGTTGAATTCGTCACGATGGGCTAACTGATCTACTTCATCCTCACCTATCATTCTTCACTGGTGCCCCGCCGGTGTATACCGATAGCGCGGGTAGGGTTACCATTCCATTATCATCCATTTAAAAAAACCATTAGCTATAAACACAATTACAATTTCATATATAATGATAAAAGATAAGTTATGTGCTGAAAGCGAAAAATAGGTAGTTTGCCAATTATTACTACAGGAGGCTGATATTGACACATAACCTAGAACTTGTCATTAAGTTGGTATTAAATGGGTGCAAATGAGGTTCATTGAACATAAAGTATTC